CTAAAATTGTTTTTGCGACCCAACGCAAAAACAGTCAAGACCTTTTTGAGGCATCAACCGAGAGAGTACACAATGTTCAAAATCTAGGCGAAACAAACCACTTTCCCAATTAAGGCATTTTTTCCTCTAGTGAGAGAGCAACTTTTTCTTTGGCTTTGGCTTCATTCACAAGAAAAGGCTACTAAATAAGGACAAGTAGGTCACCTCTCACCTAGAGAGACATCTCAGCATGAAGGGTAACCTCACCTTGATCCAACCTGTTTTTTGAGGAGGGACATACTTGGATCCAAAGCTCTAACTTACTTCTGAAAGACTAGTGTACTGCCTTGACCAGGTAGTCGAGCACTTGGGAAATGTTGAGAGAGAAAAATAAAGTGTGTGTGCTAGCCAAACACTTGGGCATCAGCTCGAAGCGAGCATTTTTTACTACCAAATCAACCAGGTAGCCGAGCACTTGATGAAGAAGAAAAAATTCCAAGTGAGGAAGAAGAAAAGTCCAAGACTACCGAGTGAGACATTTGAGAGAGAGACCCTTAGATCCTTGCATACTTGGATCCACGTGAAGCTCTATGTCCCCCTTGTTTTCATGATGCCAACTATTGTCGAAGACCATGGATTCTTGCATGCTTGGGGGTTCTAGCAAAGCTACACATTTCTCTTATACCCATGATGCCAACTTTAGTCGGAGAGGTTGGCAAATGACAAGATGATAGTATGGTTCCTCCGCCACACAATAATCATCAACTATATAGTTACAAAAACTTTGTTTGCAACATGGATGACGGTGGCCTCCAGGGCTGTCAAAATGATTCCATATGATACAATGATACTTCTTGAATACTACAATGTGATTTGTGTCACGCAGAGTCTCATCAAGTGATATTCCCCAATATTTCAAGGTGAATCCGAATTAATTGTATGAGTTTGTTGATGTCGCAATATAAAATACACATGCATATATTTCACACAATTTAAGTAAAACTAATCTATTTTAAAAAGTGTCATCACAAATAAACATGTTAGTATATGAAAAAAATTTTAAAATCAATACAAGTTGTGAATAAATATGTTATATCATATTATTCTAGATTAAATTATTAACTCATAACATGATATTTTTACTTTTTTATGTTCTATAAATATTACATTAACGTTGATTGTTTCATATATGTTTAATATGATAATCATAGTAATTTTTAATTTCATTTATTTAAAGATTTTGCTTACATTCAATTTGTTTGGCTCATTCTTCAAGATTTTAAGACTTATAAACAATGTTTTATGTGATATGTGAAGTATATTCAGTCCCCACTATATCTAAAATAATGCATTGGATGAAATATGTAGTTATTGTAAGCACAGTTAATATACTTCATCAAATCAAATAATGTACCATGATCAAATTTCTAAGTATATCATCTCTTAGTATGAGTTTTTATCTTTATATGTCATAATCAACATTTCAAACCTCATGCGTAACACAACACTATCTTGTACACTATGAATGAACTACTATTTATGTAAAAAATGCTACATAGAACATTCTGGCACATGTAGATTATGAAATATGATATATAAAACCTTTATATCTTGTAGTTTTCATTTTTTCTTATGTTGTTTTGCATTAAGTTTTGTAGATTCAAATTTTTATTCTTAAAATTTTGATTTGAAATTTTTAATCTAATGCATGTAAAATATTAATTCCCATTAAGATTTACTTTTTTTGGAATCACTAAATTTTTCACTGATATCATACTTTGCAAATGGAATAAATCAAATAAAAGAAAAATCTTGCTGATTATAAATATGTAGATGATACAGGTTATAAAAATCTTTGATCATTATCAAGTCAAAATCCACAAATTTTAAATTTATTAAAAATCTAGAATCTAGAATTTTAATTTAGTATAGTTGGAAAAATCTATGATTTAACTATAAACAGTGTAGAATTGATTCAATAATTATTTTATCATTACAACTAGTAAATTGTAGTTCAATTTTTTGTACTAAAGTACATTTCATTATATGCTTTCAAAATTCTATCTTATGATGTAATTTTATACATAAAAATTTGAATTTATCTACATTGTCACATATATTTTTTTTGATAATAATCGCGATAAACAGGATATTGTATACTATGTTCAATTATCAAAAATTGATAAAAATGTTAAAACAATAATGAAATGAGGATTTGAAAACAAATATGTCTTGTCTTAAATTTTGTTATGAGTATAACTTATGTATGAATATATCAAAATGACTGAAGTATTCTTGATTAGATATTTGATAATTTAAAAAAATAGTTTAATCTAGGATTAATAACATACAGGTTTTTTTCAATAGATATATTAGATTCAATCAATGCATATATATATATATATATATATATATATATACTGATTTTGATGTGATCTCATAACAACATTCACATTAATAAGGACTTTCAAATATTAGAAAGAAATTTCTTGTGTACAATGCACTATAAAAAGTTATGCCTAAAACGTTTTTTAGAAACAAATATAAAATTGAAATTTCATAAAAAGATAAACAAATAGATCAATCTTTTTTAATAGTTTAGAGGGTTTATAACTATCATTGAACAGTCATTTTAGTTTGGCATAATGTGTTTGGGGTATTTTTTTTCTTTACCAGAATAATTTGTTGTGATCGAACATGGATGTATTCAATATTGGAGTTCAAGTGGGGAGTACTCCTCATCTCTCAACTGTCTTCTTGGTACATTAGCCAACCGGCGTTGTTGAAATTTTCCATTTCTGGATGAAGATTTTATTGCGGCTAACTCTTTCAAAGACCTATGTCAGCAAATGACAATCTGTAAGTGAGCACATGAGATTTTTAGTAGAGCGAATATCTGTTCTGTTAATGGTGTGAAATATGTGACACGTACATATTTTACCGTGATATTAGTCAAGTCCAACAGAGTATGAGTTACAAGTCAATCGGCATAAAGCATTCCATTCATCAATATAAATGTACAAAACGTTAGTTGCCACTACAGTAATTTAGATTTGTCCAGTTTGGCTTGTTCTATGCAAATTAACTGCAGTTCCTATATGCTTCGATGAATCTCTTATTCCGTATAACGCAGGTAGCGATACATTCGTGTCTTCTAACCGATGCCACGGCATAGCTGTCAATCAAATTACGCTTCTATACAGAACAGAGTCTCCAGTTCCTCCTTCCCTCTCCCTCGTCCTCGTGTTTGCATTTGTACTGGTACGCTCTTCCCTGCTCTTCTCCCTGAACGTGAACGGCTCTTCTCCCGGCGTCTCTATGCCGTCACATCCACCTGTACCGTAGTCACCGATCAGAGGCCGGAGTCCGAGGTGTACTGCGTTAAACGTAGTCAGAGAATCAGATGGTCAGGAACACACCGAGACGTTATGCGTGGAAGCAGTCAGTGTCCGGAGGGCCAATAGCGGACAACAGCAGGATCTAGACAACTCAGCGGTCCCTCTGAACATACTGGAGAGACAGCAACAGTACCCCACCTGGAGGACCCCGCATTCTTAGCTCGGTCGCAGATTCCTTGGGGCTTCCTGCTCGTTCGATGCACCATCGCACGGTCAGGGAGAGTGTTATTTTGCCACTCTCGAGAAACTCGTCGGTCTCCGATGTGAAGCTGTCCGAAGCCCGAACTTGTCTGTTTTACCAATGGTCTCCGTGAGTGCCACCCGTCAGTCACTACAGAGGCCTTTTCCTGTAATTAGTGTTTGTATTAAATGAGTTTAAGCCACCTTTGTCTTACATCATCCCTACCTTAGGCTTGTGCACTTTTCAGAGCTCACATTTGGAGGATCACGATGACGCGACGATATCGAGGTCTCTCGATGAAAATTTTCCTGGACTGTAATTTTAAATATTATAAATCGACCATATGTTTGAAGCTTAGTTGATTTTTCCGTTGTTCTTCCGCTTGCTCGCAATGACATAAACCATAACCACTGAAAAGAAAAAAACAGAATCGTAACAATAACACTCGCTCACCTATTATTATTTGAAATCTTCTCTGTGGATCGGAATTTTATCATGTTGAGATGCAGACGCATGGGATAAAAGTAGAGATGCAAAAGCGAAAGAAGTCAAGAAGAATCTAGAATAGAGCTAATCTATACAGCTAGAAACCACTACGTATCCCAAGGCGCCTCTAAAGTCTAATCATTGTCCCCACATGAGGTCTAGAACAAAGGTCATGAATAAAAGCTATCGAACTCTACATGTTATTGGCTATATAGAGGATGCAATTATATTTTTGAAAATTTATTGGGCTTAGCAATACTCTCAGTTTGAAATCGACATCAGGCCCAGCTCATAACCGCGTTGGCAACTATTGACAATTATTCCCTGCAGTTGAAACTTTTCCTTCTAATCGTAGTTGGGAATAAAGTGTAGCGAGGATTTCGGCCGTAATGCGGCTTAGCCCAACCGACTATTGTTGGAAAGAAACACCGGATACCGGATACTTATGGTTGGAGTGCGCTCGTCCGCCCTGAAGACTCGAAGGAGGCGTTGAGGGAAGAGGAGAGACGGGTAAAGGTACCGGAGATTACAGGAACCAGAGGTCAACATTTTACTTCAAATCTGTACCCAGACCAGACCATAACCATCAATAGCGACCTATGCCCACCCATAGCATTACCTGTTCCCACCCACAGCATTCAAATTACGCCAATTGTGTCATTTGTATTACCCGGTCACACCAATTCTTGGTTGATCTGAGAAACACTGCCCATAGCATTACTTGTGCCCACCCATGGAAAAATAATGTCACCCAAAACCCGTGGGCATGGATGGGTTTGGGCATGGGCACCCAATGTTGGGCTTTGCAGGGAACCGAGGGAGTGGGGAAAAAGGATGGCAAAAGGGAACCGAGGGAGTGGTACGACGTGGTAGATGGAACAAACAGCGGAGGGGTCGACGCAGTGGAAGTGAAGTGGTTCGTCGAACTCCATTTCGTTCCGTTCCGTTTCGGGCCCGAGAGCGTGCGGACGGATGGAGGACGGAGTTTTCGTAGAGCGCGCGTCGCCTGCCTGATTGTCGTCCACTCCCGGCGACTACCTCTCGCTCTCGTCGGCGTCGTGCTCGAATTCGAGCGTTGCTCTTCGACGCACTCAATACGTGTAGATGTATTGCTGCTGTCGGTTAGAAAGTCAAGAGGAGCTGTCTGCGAATCTGCGTTGTTTCTTGACAGACATTGATTGCCGAGCGCCTGCCCGAATTAAGGCTAATTTGCTGCATCGGTCGGCATTTCCAGTGGAGCCGAGGGAGCGGACGAGGGAGCGACCCGCCCTGGAAAGGAAAGATGCGCTTTGAAAGTTGCAGAGCAACTCACCGATGCGCGAGAGAGAGAGGGAGAGAGATAGATAGAGAGGAAGGATAGATAACACGGCCGGGATGTGGATTTGGTGAATGCTTTGAGGAGGGAGCATCGAAGGCGACGGGTGATGAGCTAGACAGGTACACAGGAAGGAGAGAAATGGTTGCCTTCCGAAGCCGGATGAGCTCGTTACTTCCCGCGGGATTTCCAGCAAGACAAACGTTTGGGTTTAGGAGGAGCTGAAGGTTGGGACCACCTGCAGGAATGATGGCCTTCGTCGCCGAAGGCTACCGGGTGCCATATCTGAGGATCGCAAGCGCTCTTCTGGCTCTCGCAGTCATCGCCTGTTTTCCAGTTTCATCAGCAGAGAGAAGTACTTCTCCTTTTCTTCTTAAATTTCCTTCCCTCATTTTAAATGGAAACACAAAATGCAACGAAAAGGCTCACTTCACGAAGTTCGAACTGGATTTCTTTGCTAGGAATCAGACGTCACGAGCGTCTCTTACTGTAGCATTCAGCTGAAGTGACTCGAGTTCAGTTCATCCTGATCATCAGAACAGAATGAGCATTTGAACTCCCTGACACAGGCTCTCAAGAAAGCATTGTCAGCTTGCGTTTCCTGTGCTCGTTTCATTCATGAGAGTTGGGAACCGTTCTCACCGCCAGACGACATGAATCGATATTCATGTCGAGAGGCGAACGAACTCCTTCAGGCCGAAGTGCTTGTCTCGTTAAAGGAGCATGTGACGAAGAAACGCTCCCGTTTCAACACTGATCCAGCTCAGTCGCTGATTTGGGGATACTAGAGACGAAGAATAACAGTTTTGCTCGACACTCGTGCAAAGTCGGTGATCTTACGGAGATGGCCTGTTGAAATAATATTTCACTAACACGATCGCCTCTCTGGACAGGTGGACTGAGCTTCGCCTGCGGGGCTCCGGAAGGTTTTACGACAAACAGCGTCTTATGGAAATCCGACAAAGACATCGCTCCAGCGAAATCGAAGATTGCGAAGATCGGTACAGATTATGTGCGATACTTTTCTGAGTACAGCGATGCAAACGCGCATCAAAATCTTCACTGCTACGACAAGCTACCTTCAATAACTTCCGAAGGCCCCATTCTTCTGAGGGTGACTTTTGAATACTCAAACTACGACGGTCTGGACGCACCTCCGGAATTTCAAATGTGGGTCGGAGCATCGGAAGTGGCGTATGTGAACCTGAAGAAGGATGATCCTTGGGTCGAGGAGGCCGTCCTCAAATACAGCTCCGATTCCAGCACTCAAGTGCTTTGCTTGGTTGCAGTGAAGGGTGCGCCGGCGATCTCTTTCATCGAGTTGAGGCCGCTTCCTGCCGATGCGTACAGTGCCGGACACTTGCTTCGCACCCTCAAACGAATTGACTGCGGGAATGATAATGCGACTCGTCGCGTCAGGTAAGTCGACCTTTTTTCGTGAATGCCTGCATCTACAGTCAGCGCTTGCGCTCGTTCGAGCTCTCGTGAAGGACTTTGAAGTTGGATTGAAGTGGTCTATGATCTTCTTTTCCGTGGGCGACGAACTTGATACGTTTTGGCAGTAGGAGGACAGTGAGAGACAGGGGACTTTTCAGTGACTTGATCCTGATGCTCGTACAGCGAGCTGTGTACGCGCGTACTTCACCGCGATTACGTCTTATTATCTTTGTTAAAGTTACCTACTGAGTTTGATCGAAGTGCGTTTGATGTAAAAAGACAATTGGACATCGAGCACAAGTAATCAGGCTATGAGAATGAGATATAACGAAACAGTATCTTCCGCAAAATTTAAGCAGGCGATGATATTCTCCTGCCTTCTATTCTCTTGAGTTTGATCTAGCACTCCTTATTAACGACCATTGAACCAAGCCTGATTTCGATAATCCGCACGAGGTATCACCTTATACAAGGTTCATCGAGTAGTGTGCTGTATGCGTTGCAATAAGAGTGTAACCAGTAGGGCGAATTCTACGCAATTCATACCCAAACACTTCAGCGGGAATAATCCGTTCACATTAGAATAAATCGCAACGAATCTAATTTTCTTTCCCCATCTGAAATCAAAGTGAATCTTGAATCTCACGCTTAAATAAAGGAGCGCGTCTTAAAGCGTTCCGTTTAATTGAGAGCTCTGGAGTTCAAAGTGGTCAAGAGAGGACAGCCTTTTACACGGCGAAAATGAAAAAGAGATCCCGTTTCCACACTTTCTCTCAGAGACTGTACTATAGTTTCTCTACACCATGGCATCTGAGCTCTGGTTTTCACAACTCAATCTTATCAGTGGACGTTGTGAAGCAGATTTCCGCAAGATGTTTACGACAGAATATGGGACGTCGACGCGAATTTCCCATCCAATTCCGACAGCTTTGCGTCAAAAGTTACCATTGATGGTGAAGATGTCCCAGAAAGACCTCCAATGGCAGTGCTGGAGACCTCAAGAGTGCCATCGTCTGGCACACGCTTAGCGTACAAATTTGACACAGAGACAACTGGCTTCTTCGAAATCAAAGTTTACACTCCTAGTACGATTCCCTCTACTCTGAATGTGAACGGTGTCTCATCGACAGAGTCCCCTGTCGTCGGTCGAGAGGTGCAAGTTACATCTGTTTCACGAGTTCCGGATAGCTCTGGGGGAGTGGAAGTAGTTCTCCAAGGGAGCAACGGACTGAAGCCTCAAATCAATGCTTTAGAAGTCTTCCAAGAAATTGATGGGATCTTTTCGAATGATGGTATGTCACTCTCCTGAACATCCGCCTTGATTCTAATGTTCATATTGTTTAGTATCTAAAGGAAGATCAATTAGCAACGCAACTCGATGGATTTACGGATGAATGTAATGAGGTGAAACGATGATTTGGAGAACCTCTCTACCTGCACTTTTGCCAGTTTTCTGCAGTCGCAGATGTATGCGTGTAAATCTCCATGGTGTAGATTTTGTAATGAGAGTATTGTCTTCCTGTGAAATGCTCAGTCCCTTAATAGCTGTCTAGTATTGAACAAAATATGTGAAGTTTATAACGTCCATCATAATCCTGCCGTGCTGAAAGTGACTTTAAATGAGTCCGGCTAACGATTTTTTGGGTACCGTGGGCTAATGGCAGCGGACGCCATCAACGCCATCAAGGCTTATTACAACATAGTTTCCAACTGGTTTGGAGATCCGTGCCTGCCCGTCCCATGGAATGGTCTCGAGTGCTCCAGCGACAGCCGAGTGACATCTTTGTAAGTTGATCTTCGGATTCATGATAGGCTTCTACACTTCTGACAGTCCGTTGCACCAGTTGATTAGTATGTCTTCGAGCTGGACCACCAGCAGTACCTAATGCTCCTAATGCAGCCTCGCCGTAACTTGCCACCACTCCCGTTACTATCAGATGGGCTACGAGACTTAAGATAGCTTTCCCACTCTTGATGAGACCAACTTTCAGCTGGAGAACTAAATTAATCCGCCTCTTAGCAATCCAGCTCTCCAAGGTGTGATCAGTACTCCAAGAATGAATGCCTGTGTTCTCGCAGTATGTACAGTATTCATGGCTCAAATTGAACTAACTCGAAAACTGAAGGTGGCCGATTACTGCGAAAACTACTTCAACCTTAATGTAACTGAGTAGTAAGTACAGAAAGACACTGACTCCGAGGTTGAGAATTACATCATATTCCAGGTCTTTAGTGTAGTAGTCATAATGTAATATTAGGGAGGAGTCAATATGTACATGCTCTTGTCTTTTTGTCATTCCAGCTAGACTGTTGGATTCAACAGAAGTTACGAGTGTAACTTGCTTTACGCACGCGTTTCCAGTCAACGACTAGTTTGGGTGTCGCCTAAAGCTGTTCCAATATGAGGAGTGAACATGAATGTGCAGCTCTTGTAGTAACTTCTCTGATCAATAGCTATGTCCAGTGATGGTCGAAATGTGTTGAAATTGACATGGCTTTAGATATGCGTTATTGATGTAGGGACCTTTCTGGTCAGAATCTTATCAAACCTATGAATCCAAAGATTAAGTCTCTCACACGTCTCAAAAGTTTGTAAGTTGCTTCTGACCTACAGTTGTCGCACATTTGGTTTCCTGAATATTTGCTAGGATATAGTTGGATGAACAAGCGATCATTTTTTTTGGCATCACCGGAATTTTTTTGGAGACGCAGCAGGACATAAACATCCCCAGCTGCTAGCATGTGGGATTGAATATTTGTGTTTTCCGGTATTAGTGTGGACTGAATGCAGTTTAAATCCGTGGTTTCGGAGGATGCAGTACATTGACTAATTATTGATGCATTTGTGATTTAGAAACATGAGTTTCAACAAGTTCGACTCAAAGATCCCCGATTTGACAGGACTCATCAATTTACAAGTATTGTAAGTGTTTTGTTTCTGCACCGGGTGGTGGTTCTTATGGTCGCACAAATATGCTTTATCCAGTGTAAATGTTGTCGATTGGATAGTCTCCGAAAAGCGCAACCGATGCATTTAGTACGAGTGATAGCAGTTGGACGCTTGAATGTCAGGACATTTAATCATCTAGTGCTTGATATCATCATTAAAATTGATAGTCATCCATGACGTTCTCATCTTGATTCAGCAAATGAAGTTGTAAATATCCTACCCCCAGGTGTCCATAAGTCTGAAACTGGAATGGACGGTGCTAGAACTGAAACCTTGGATTGCTAATACTGTGAAGGAAAATCTGTCAATTGTCATTTAGTTTCAGTGTTCATCACTCACCGAAATTTGTCCCATTTCAATCTTTGATACGTATGATAGAGGTGAGCGTAGTCTGCATTGGTATACTGTGCTGATGAGTGAGGTCTTCTGTAAGAGTCGTTTCTAAGGCTTTTTATGTAACCTGTTCATGAACTGCATTCTCTTGACTGTGCGCATTTACTATGAAATAGCTAAGAGCTGCAATATCACTGGAATCAAGTTTCAACATGAGAATCTGTATTTCAGAGATCTTCGGAAGAACGACTTTTTCGGCAACCTGGACGTTCTTAGCGGACTTTCGGCTCTGACTCAACTGTGGGTTCTGGATGTTCTGTTTGCTCAGTTTGTGGATCCATGTATACTTTCTAGTTCAGGCCATATCACGTTCATGTGGAGTTTCCTATTACTCGTTGTTGTCGTGTGAGTCTTTGCATAGAAAGTTCTTCATTTTGTTTAGGGCTACTTATCTTCTTACCTAGTTATCGATTTTGTACTCATAGAATATGTGCTACAACAGGGATGTTAGCTTCAATCCACGGCTCTCTGGAGAAACTCCATCCGCTTTGAAGAGGACCAACTTGCAGATAGAGTAAGCTGTCTTTGAAGCTCATAGGAAGGTTTTTTTATGTCTCGTTGTTGGCTTTGAGGTTTAGGGACATCGCTCAATGTAATCTCCATTCTGTATTGTTCGCGAAGGAAAGCAGCTTAGTAAGCAGTACGAAAGACTTCGAGGAAGCACGAAAGCTTGTTCACTTTTTGGAGTCGGTGAAGATGTCATGTGACTAATGACTTATGCCTTGCTTGTCTTGACAGTGCACAGGGCACTTGTGTCGACCAACCAGCTGGTTGCAATCTTTCCCCATCTCCAGAAGTTTCAAGTTTATTGAACAAAAATCGAACCGGCTTAATTGTCGGTGTCGTTGTTGCCGTGGTGCTGGCTATTCTGCTCGCCCTGGTCATTTGTATCTTCTTGATTTGGAGGAGGAAGAAGCCTCGCGCCGGAAGAGGTATATCAACATGGGGAATGAGGGAGTTGTTAGTTTGTTTTTACTTCCTGATGATTCTGTAACGCACTCCTCGTTCTCAAACTATCAACTCTCAGTTTCGTTGAGAGCATCGCTCGGCAGTATGTTTGTCCAGGTTACTGAGATTGAACTTGACATCGTTTTACAGTTTCATTTTCAAGTACACGACAAAATCTGAAATGTCTTGATTGTTCAAGTACCTTTGGCAGGCGAGGTTGAGGGGGGTGTGGATCTCAGGAACTGGACCGCAGCGAAAGTTTTCACCTTCAAGGAACTTGAAACAGCTACAAATCACTTTAAGAAGAAAATTGGTGAAGGAAGCTTCGGCCCTGTTTATCTTGGAGTGTTGTCGAACGGTCAGAAAGTTGCAATTAAGATGCGTCACGACACATCGGCTCTTGGAGCTGACGCATTTGCTAATGAGGTTCACCTGAGCTCCTCCCATATCGGACTCGTTTCAATCCGGTGTCAATTGCTTAAGCCGTGCTTTTACGTGAATTCTACTAGCCCTGCTTGGTAGTAAGCGACTCCTGTTTCAAGTCGATCCTATGATATTGCTCATATGATTAATCGAAGCAAGATATCGTTACTGAGGTCTGTCCGTCCTGGGCTCGAAGAAGTCAAAGGTAATGATGTTCAGCTTGGATAGAGGAAGGCAACTCATTGAGTAGTGTTGTGATCTTGCAGGTTTATTTGCTATCACGTGTTAATCACCCGAACCTAGTGTCTTTGCTAGGGTATTGTCAGGAGGGCAAAAATCAGTATCAGTTACTCGTCTACGAGTTCATGCCAGGTGGTACGCTTATGGACCATTTATACGGTGAGCATGGCGTAAATTCTGTCTTCAAACGTTGAACTGCGACGAGATTCCAACAGGATTGCGCCATGGTCAAGCAAATTGAGTAGATCTTTGAGGTTTAGAAAAGTACTATTAGATCGAGCAGTGCCTAAATTTGATGTGACCATGCAGGGACCATGGTTCGTCTGGATTGGATCACCCGTCTACGTATAGCCATCGGTGCTGCAACAGGTTGTTATCAAATGAGTTAAAAAATGCAGCACTTTCCTCAAGGCTCTAGAAGCGTGCCTGATGCTTTTCACTGAGTTCATCGATGAGTGGTTACGTCCATCAGGCCTATCGCTCTTTGATTCGTCGCCTTCGCCTTTAGTCATCCCGTGGATCCCTTTTCCCTTGTACATCTGGAGTAGCCTGTCCTGATTGTCAATACGTGCATGTTCAGGTATTTCGTATCTTCATAACGGAAGTGACCCGAAGATAATTCACAGGGATGTGAAGAGCACCAACATACTACTTGACAATAACTTGATGGCTAAGGTTTCAGACTTTGGCCTCTCAAAACTTGTCACACGAACCGAGGCAACGCATGTGACAACGTTGGTGAAAGGCACGGCGGGTTATCTCGATCCAGAGTACGTAAATTCCGGTGTTGTCTCCGCAAATGTCTTCCTTTTGAAACTTTTTTTTGGACTTAGACATTCATCACCATGTATTGGAGCAGGTACTTCACAACGAATCAGCTGACGGAGAAGAGTGATGTCTATAGCTTCGGAGTTGTTCTGTTGGAAATCATATGTGGGCGCGAACCTTTGACCGGTAATCGTGCCCCTGATGAGTACAATCTGATCGCATGGGTATGTGACTTCTCCACCTACAACGGTTAATGACTAGCATGAATGATGAATCTTAGCAAGAATGTAGGAAAGATAGGCTACATTGGAGCAAGCGTACTCAGAACTTTAATAAGTGAGCGAAGCCTTCCGTAGTCCGAATTTAATTGCCCGAAACAGGTCAATAAATAAGATATGTCATTCTAGCTCCACTCTGTCGTACTGTCTTACGCGACGACTCCTCACTTCTCCCCGGTGTCACACTCTCTGTACTTCGTACACTACACGTGACCCGCGAATTCGTGGTTTATCATGATATTTCGATTCAACTCGAAGAAGAAACTCAACCTTCTGTCCCGTGCTTGAGTACTGGTAAGGGCGCACGATGCATTCCTTTTATAATCTGGGATTTCTTTACAGCCTTTCTGGCTGTTCCCATGATATTGACGGTTTGCTCCTCTTCCCTCGTGTACTAAGCCCTTGCCGTTGTTTGATCATGTATTAAGACAAGTGATTTATCATCGACTGTGTATGCTGCGAATAATCGTGAACTTGAGGGCCAGGTTCTTGTCTTCGTAGACCACCACGGCAGTCGGGAAGTCGTGGGACATATTCATGACGTAGAGCGGTGTTACTAGAATTCAAACTCGTTTTTTCGACACTGACATCTCGGAATTATCTACACTTCTTGGTTTACCACCTTCGGGAGTGTCAACAAAGCCCGACGTTGTGTTTTGGAACGAGATGTGGACAGTCTCCAAGGAATCATTGATTACGAATTACGCGCTGATGAGGGTGACTTTGATGTGTTATGCAGGCCAAGCCATATCTTCTGGCGAAAACCTATGAAGGAATTGTGGACAGGGGGCTGCAGAACAACTACAATTCCAGAAGTATGAGTCTTGTGGCCAGCCTTGCACTGCGCTGTATTGAGAGGGATAGTAAAAATCGACCTACCATGCTTCAGGTTTTGAGAGAGCTCGAAGAAGCCTTGCAATACGAGGATCGACCAGAGAGGACTCTAGCTTCACCGTCGCAGCCAGACTCGGCAGCTTTTGACTTCAAAAGCACGGCTTCAGACACTCCCCCAGATAGTGCACCGCAGCTTGCGAACGTGCCGTCGTTCACATTTCCGAGGTAATAGGTCGGTCAACTCCTCGCTGTTAGCTGGCAGGTAGGCTCCAGAAAGATGTCAGATTTTCTCTTGCAGGCCATCAAGACTGATAAGTGTTCACCCATCTTCCTTAGATCCTCCTCAGCAGGTTGTACATTAGGCTCTTCATTCTCCATTTTGGAGCCGTCTGAGCAGTGCTTTTGTATATTGTACGATTATTAGTAACAAATAATCCATCAAAATTGCCACTGCGGCTGGCTGGCTCCTTGCAACTTATCGGAAGATCATATTTGACTGGAGCCGTGGATGAAGGTTACAACTGCCCATTGTGTTTTCAACTGTCATGTGACGAAATGGCGTCATGTATCAATGAAGTCCCGTATCCATGGCTTGAAACAACGAATTGGACAATTATCAGTAGACTTGCAGGCGATGTCGTCTACTTTTAAGGCCAACTTTCGATAAGGCTGAAGAGGGCTGTGCGATGTCGACTGGGACTTCGTTGTATCCTGTCGTTTTAGACGGTGTTTTTGAAAGTATTTTGAAACTTATTGAACACAAATTTCTGAAGGTAGTTAGGGACATGGTCGAATCATACCGATGTACGATAAAACAAGTTTCTCCCAGAATTCTCTCATATCAAAGCAATTGTCACTGTGCCTGAAGGGTGTGAAGCTCGTCCACGGAATAGTCTGCCCTCCTCGTTCTCGGCATTCGGCTTCAAACTTGTCACTAATAGCAATTTGTCTCCATGACAACATGACATTTACTGATGTGTAGATGTCCGCCAAGCACCGTAACCATTCCAATCAAATCAAACCCCCGCCCTTTACTCTTTTTTGTTTCAAAGTAGACAGGGAAATGTTCATGAAGACAGTAGTCGTTGGTGAGAAGTTTAATTTAGGTCGCGATCGTAGAGCATGCAAGCCAGCAGAGGAGTGTGCAGAAAACTGCAAACGCTTAATCAAACTTTTCTACAGAACCGCCGGACAAGAAGAAAATATACCAATGCGTTGGAGAAGGCCATTCAGGAGGGAGGTCAAGGTGTTCCGCTAAATCAAATTCATTTGTGAATAGGTAAACTCTTGCAATGGAAATGTTAAGAGTTGACCGTAATTTGGCGTTTCACACTCACGCAGTAATTGCAGCATGATGCTCTAATCAATTTTATTTCTCTGCCGCCATGAAACATGATTCTAAATATAATTGGAACTAAAAGAAAAACCGACTTTGTACTCTACTGTCCTCAAAAGTATGTACATTTAGGACAAGTGAAGTAATCGATGACCGAGGGTCTATCAGGGTCTCATAAAATTACAGTCTCTCAACTTTTGTTTCGTCCTCCCGGTCGACAATCCTCAGTGAGCATTATACAGATTGGTAGACATAGCTCGCACTGCAAAGTACGGTGTCGTGACTGGATCAAGAGCTGACGTGCGAAGCATTGACAAGGAGCCAGAGCAAGGGCGTGCTTCCACACATACGCTCGTGTGGAAGCAATGGAATTATCATCCCAAGAGACTGCAATTCCAACATGCATTCAAGGGAGCTTGATTGTGTCCTTTCTATCACACCCATAAGTGACGAGACCTGTGTCAAGACGATAAATGTTGGAAAAGAGCTCGTGCTCTTCAGGCTGCGGCGCTTCTCGAGCTTTAGCTGCCTCCTCCTCAACCTCCCGCCTCACTTGCTTGTCGAGTTTCTTCAACTCCTCCGCGGTGGACAACTCTTCCTGCAACCATTCCAAGCCAAATCAGAATTCATCCCAACATCCATTGAATGCGTTCGCTCGGTCATTCTGCTCTGCACTCTCGAAGCACATACTTGCACACAAAGAAACGTACTTCTGTGCAATCGTCCGCACGCACCTTGAGTATGATGTTGCGAATGCGCTCGATGGGATCCCTCTCTTTTCGGAAGCCCTGGACCTCATCCCGACTGCGGTACGTACTCCCGGGATCCGACATACTATGGCCATGATATCTGTACGTGTCACATTCTACCACGATAGGGCCCTGTCCACAAGGTTTCCATTCTCACATGATCAACTCCTACTCCAACTTCATCGCCTGAGATTTGAAGAGAAATCAGAAAAGAGAAAATAAAAGCTTCGTCGTTCCATACACTGGAGATCTCTGACTCACCTTTCCCGCGACACAGTGCTCCTTGGCGAAGAGCATGGCGGCCTTGACTGAAAATGCATCCATCCCGTCTACCTGCTCCATTCCAATCCATTCCAGCTGACATCAATTTTCCACGTTCGCCACGCGCTAGGCAGCGAAGGTCACGTTGGTGCAGAACGGTGAAAAGCTCAATTCCTTTGAAGCAATTAGTCTAAAGGGGGATGTGGTATGAGATTTTGGCGCACCTTGATTCCTGGGATATAGGATAACCTGTCGAAGAAGGTGGCCTTCTTGGACGCTCGCCACTCTGCAGTTCCCATTCCATACTGCAGCAGTTCCACAGCTTGAGTGCTCACGATGCATGACATGAATGGGAAGCTCGGAAAAGCTTAACACATTATCAATCGATAAAACAATCAATGGGTCTAGTCTAAGGTGGAGGAGGACGGCTGTCCATGAACAGACGGAAGGAGCTTTACATGATTGTTCTCCACCAAGTAGATGACGGGCAGATCCCACAGTGCTGCGCAATTCTGTGCCTCGTACAACTGACCCTGCCAAAATAACGAGTAGGCACGTTCAGGGATATTATTACAGATACAGCATAAGCCGCTGTTGATCTGAACCCAGTCGCCGAAGCAGGCAGGCAGGCAGGCAAGCCATCATCTTCACATTCGTAGGGAGTAAAGAGAACAGAGGAGAGAGGGAATTGGAGATACAGACCTGGTTGGCCGCACCGTCGCCATAAATGGCCACAGCGACGTTGGGCTTCTTCTGATACTTGAGGGCGAAGGCCAGGCCTGTTCCCAGAGGCCCCGAGGTGCCGACGATTCCCCATCCTCCGTAATAATTGTTCTCCCGTTTGTACAAATGCATCGACCCTCCCTTACCGATGGCGCACCCCGTTTTCTTGCCCATCAGCTCCGAAAACGCTTCCTGTCAACCTCCCAGCTAACTCCATCATCATCCTCCTCCTCATCTTCATTTCATTGCATTTTCTTCCCTTCCGCCCATAGAGATCCAATGCCAGCACCGTGACCACGACCGTGACCCAAGCATGCAACCGATTCCATGCGCAGGGAAATGCAATGTGGTGCTCGAGGCTCAAATTGCTGTCATGGACTCGGTACTAATTCCGGTGCACAAAAAGGGAGGGGGAGGGAAGATTGCTCACAAAGGTGGTGCCGCCTCGACCCAGAAAGATGCCATGGTCTCGGTATGCTGTGAGCACCGAGTCCTCGTACGTTAGAGCGGCTTCCATGCCCACGGAGATGGCCTCCTGGCCGTCGTATAAATGGCAGAATCCTCGAATCTGCTGGGACTTGAACAGCTGCAGGCCAATTGCAAATCCAACACACTTCGTCATTCCCCAATCCCTCGACCCAAGCACACAAGCACACACAACCCACGCGCCTTGTCAGCCTGCCTGCCTGCCTGCCAGCTCGGAGTCCTCCGAGGCGCCCGACACACGAATCGCTTACCTGGCTCGACTCGTGCATTCATAAGATCGAAGCTGGCGTGGACTCGGAGCCTGATGTGGCGCTCGACGAGAAAGGCTCAGAGGAGAAGGAAAAGAAAGAAGGACGAACCATGTCCGCAGCGAGTTCCATCCGGCGCAAAACGGTCATGTCCATGTACATTTGCATGAGCTCTTCCTTGCTCGTGAAGACGTCGGTGGCAGGGCCGTCGTGAAGCCGGTGCAGTTCGAACGGGTTCAGCAGGTCGACTCTGATGTCCCCCGACCCGACTCTCTTCTCCGAGTCCCTCCTCTGCTGCGCCGCTTCCGACGCCAAGCCGCGCCTTCGGTCCGTGCCCCCGCCGCCGCGTGCGACTGCAACTCCCCCTCCTCCCCCTCCCAGCCCTCTGCCGAGCGCGCTCGCCAGTCGGACACTCGACTGCACTACTCGGGATCCCATCGTGCCTCAGCTCCCTCGCTCGATAATTCGACCGAGCAATCTGTCAATCAATCGAACAATTGAAAGGGCAGCCGAGCTCCGGCCGCTTAGCTGACCTTGAGCTACCCTACCAAATTGCACACACTGCACTATACTCGATAGGAGAGTAAAGCGCGAGTTCAGACTCTCTGGTTTCGTCTCGCAATTATTTGGAGCAAAATCTGACGATTCGACCGACCGACGGGATGGATTGATCGAGCTGCGGGGCAGATGCGGGTGATAAAACCTGCAGGCCAGACGCCGAATTGAGTCATTTTCCTTTTGAGGCCTCGGGCGGCGAACACGAAGAAGGCCCGTCATAGAGACGAGAGATGTCGTCGAGGCGCCCAGTGCATGGAGACCAGCTCCGGGCCTCTGGACGGCAGTAGCTGCTGCCAAGTGTGCTTCTTTCTTGCCAAGTGGCTGCGGACAGGTGTCCGTATGCCTCAGTCTGCCTTCTGGGCCTGATTTCCGGCCCTTCGAGACATTTCTCTGACTTTGAAGTCGACCTTGCCACAGACGTTCCGAAGCCATGTCATTATTATTCACAAATTAAATTTTACCTTGATGCGTCGTATACCACGTAAATATCACGAGATAGATTCCGATTCCCTCTAGGATGTGGTTCTTGCATGCCTTCTGGGGCCAGGGCCCTCGCTCCGTTTTATCCACTGTGTCGCGGTTTTCTCATTTATAACACTGCATTAAATATGTCCTCGACACTTAACTCTGCGGATACCGTAATGTCGAAGCCGCACAATCAGTTCAGGACAAAAAATAATCTGCGCGTGAGCCCTATAGACAGAATAAATACGAGAAAATGATTGTGTCCGGAAGTTTTGAGTGAGAATTATCCAAAAGCAAGGTAGAGACCTATTGTAACGCCTACTCGAGATAGGACCCCGTGCTCACTTTGTTCACTAGAACAACAAAAGACGAGAAATGGTGCTTTTGGTGATTGCGCAATTGAAAGCGATTCGTCACAATTCGTTTAGGCTTTTCCTAGGAAGGAGTAGATGGAACATTAACGTATGAATGAGCAATAAAAAATTCCAAGGATTGCAAGATTCCGCGTACTTATCAATTTAAGTTTTAATGGGTAATATTTTCTTACATTTTGTAAATGTGCAAAATATATGCACCCCTGTATGACAAGTAGATTAGTTTAGACAAATATGACTCCGAAAGAAGTAGGTGTTGCTAAGTTTGCTATTTGTCAACAACCTTTGAAATGATGATAAATCAAACAATTTGATCACTTTAACTACTACACCTTTCATGCTAGGTTAAGTTGGCACTTGGAGTATAAAGCATGGTTTGTTCTTCTTGAAATCAGGAGGTTAAATGCATTAATCTAGAAATAAAATGTTTCTAACTACATATTACTACTTTCTCATGAGGCTACGCTAGTTTGCAAAAGTAACATGGCCTCAACATATTAGTTAAAGATTCAAGCTCAGTCACATGATACTCTTAGGGTGGTTATATTACAACAATGTAGTATGTTGCAAGCTAAGAAAATATAGAATGTCTTCATATGTTTGTAATTTTAATTACATGGTTAGTTCTTCCTTACTTGCCATGTAAAACATGTATTTTTTATGTCCATGCAAGAAAAGAAATTTACATGAGAATTCATGGGATAGAAGCTGAAGTTATCATTGAATGAATTTTATTTATATAATACAATGAATAAAAACTATTATTAATGTATCTATTCTATTCTAGTGTTATACCCTATTCATTAGTATAGTATAACAATACGCTTATTTGACAGAACACAAAGTTGAAGTTCACATATACAAGATATAAACCAAAGTTAACATTCAAGATAAAAGAGCTGGATATATCTAAGTATATATTAGATATGGATGTTCACATGTCTTTGAAGAAAAAATCTGTTAAATTGAATCAAGTATATTTAACATATGGTTGACAAGTTTAACATGGTAACTTTTAAAGATTTTGAATCCCTTTGACACCTCATTTCAAGCTTTTTATAGCTCACTGTCCAATTCATGATGTGAAAATAGAAGTTGTAAATTTCCCATGACAAGTTAGTGGACAACATTATGTATTTAGTGATCTGCCCTGAAGTTGATATTACTCTAGCTATTACTTTGGCTATGAGTAATGTAAACATCTATAAGTCAAATCCAAAAGAATTGCATAAGCAACCTTTGGACTAGTCTTTTTACAAATTCAACTTTATCAAATAATATGATATTTAAAAAAAAAACTTACTTTTCAAAACAATATTCTTGTTAAGTTATGTTGATTATAAATATTTCTCAAATAAGAATAAAGTTACAATTTTATTTCTGTTCACAATTACATTTGCATCTCTTAAAATAATAGAATAGTTTATTTGATCAAAGCATACTATTGTCAATCTTTATTATGATCTATAGCGGGATAAAGCGTATCAATTTCATTATAATAGATATGCAATATCATATGAGAAAGTTAAGTTAATGAAGATAAAGTTGATGTAGAGTACAAAGTTATACTTTGGTAAAATGTAATGAACATTGTACAAATATACAAATTGTATTAAAAAAGTCAATTCTAATTTAATAGTAATATAATTATATTTATGTAAAATTTAATCCTTATTTATTTATAGCAGCTAATATTTAATGTATTATGATTTATAGATAAGTTTATGCTAAGTGTTTTACTAGAACAATTTATAGAGACTTCACATTGATAATAGATGTAACACAACTTAATACATGACTCCAGTGATAGATGTTTGGGATTGGTTATCATCTTTTTATTTCGACCATCTTGTACAAATATTGAAACAGTTTAGTTAACCTATTATTATATGAGAAAACAAATCATAATTATGAGTGATATGGACCTAGTATTTTCATTTTATTTTTTGATTTTTTAAAATTTATGCAAAGATAAAGTCTTAGATATGAAGTACTATTTTTTTATGCTGGTTGATTCTTTTTTTTTAATGTGAAAAATACTTCACAATACATGATTATGTAACTTTATCAACATGCTAGTAAAAACATTGAAGTTGTATGATATATACATATATGTTTGGTTTGTAGTATATATAAAGATATGAATTAGTGTATCATATCGAATAAAACTCACATGAATTTAAATATATAAATAAGAAATATTTATTTTGTATGTATCACAAAACTTGTTTTCATTGCCAAACACTATTTTACAATACTATATTATGTAAAACTTAAAGGGATAAAAATTCTAGTTATGTTAGATAAGACAACATATTTATTGCAATTTATTTGATAAAAAGTTATAATTAATTTTTTTAAATAGAGGAAATTAAATATTTTGAATTTTCATTACATATGTTAATAATTAATATTTTTTCATACAAATATAAATAAATAAATAAATAAATATATGAAAAAACAAAAACTTCATTCATACAAATTGAGTTCTATAATTTTGATATAAAAATATAAATAATTTTTGAGAATATCAAACTTACAGCAAAAAATTTATATCAAATCAAAATTTAATATATTAAATATATTCAAACTTATATCTACGCTTCATGGAGCATATAAAAATATGAAAATAATCACATCATTTAATCATGAATTACAAGGATTTCATCAAAAGTAAGTTTAATTTAATAACTACACTCTTAAAAAACCAAAATTCAAACAGAATATGCATGTCAAACTTATATCAACAAAAAATATATATTTATTCCAAGAATATAAAATGAAATCTTTAAAATGAATCTTATTTGCTTCAATAAATGAATCAAAGAATGAATGAGTATTGAAGACCAATTTGTTTTAATGTGATCAAATCAAATAAGTTGCAAAAGAATTTATTCAAAAAGATTAGATTGTCTTCATCGCCAAAATTAAAACAAACACATGAAAATATTATAATAAAATGAATACTGTGATAGGATTTTCAACTTAAATAATATTTAGTATTAAAGCTCACATGATTTGGTATTCACTTGAATTATTAATATCAGTAAAAAAGCTTAATAAATTTTGTTCATGATTTTTGAATCTTTTGGTTTTTAGAAATTCAAAATTTGAGAAAACTTCAACAACTTTCAGATAGTCAATAATCATGAGTTTAAAGCTATGATATAATCAATAAGTATGCCATATAAATTGAATTTTTTTAAAGTGAGTCTTTTCTTATTTCATAGATCGTTAAAGATGATGAATCAAATAATATATTTTACATCCTAACAAAGAACATCTACAGCTATGCAGGGAATTCACATCCTCCAACGAATTTCCTTGGCACACTTTCCATGGAATTGAAATAAGTGATGTTAAAGATTGAAACCCATGTACGAGAACTAGATTTCAGAGAACCTCAACATTTGGAAGAAGTCACCTATCTTGTAGATGCCATAAAACAGACGAGAGAAACGACCAAACCCGAAGGTCAAATTCCCCGATAATGGGGATTCTTTTGCAAAACTAACTTCGAGACTGCAGAAGGAATCAGAAGGGACGAACTGACAATTCGATTCCAAGCATTGAAGTCCAAATACGAGGTGAGCACACGTGTATTGCACTCAACAGAGACAAAAGGGGCTATTTTATTGTGGACTTATCGAAGGATCTATCGTGAAAACAATAAATAAGGAATGTGCTCATTCTAGCTACAGACAAAAGATACTGCTTCACCACACTAAAGTAACCCTGCACTAAGTGGCCCCCAGGCCAACTTTAGCCGTGCAGACGCTACGTGAGGATTTGTCACCAAGAAAAGGGTACTCTAAGTAAGGCGGCTTGGTCTTCCGGTGGAGTCGCCGAGCAGAAACCGGGTGGGAACTAACGTGAAGCGAGGAGCCTCGCGCAGGGACTGGCTGTCGGCCGTCGGAACAACCCGGAGCCCGGATAGCTAGAGAACTTAAATTAGCGAAAACAGCGAAACGGAGCGCCAGTGCCGAGGGCGCGTCGGATTTGGGAGGGGGAAGTTGAAGATCCACTTTCGGAGCCCGCGCGTATTTGGCGTGCGCCTGACACAAAATGTCACTTGAATGCGAGGCGCCCGCGGGCTTTCGGGAGGGGGCCTGTCGTCTCGCCTCCATGTTATTTCATGTCCTCCCGTGCGCGCACAGTGAAGCGTTGCAGGTCGAGGTTTGACTTTGTTTGAAAGGGGCAGCGGGACGACCTCTGCGACGACGATGGATGGCACTCCGCGGACTCCGAGGACTCGAGCGAGGGATTGGGTTGACAGATTGATCGGCTTATCGAGGGAATTTGCAGTCGCGGGCTCGTAGATTGCTGAGGGAGATTGTCGCCGAGGATGATTGATCGTCTGCTGCTGTGGAGGCTGTCCCCCGGCGCTCCGTTCACTGTTGCAGCTGTTCCCGGGCTGAGTTCGAGCACGACCCTGACGCCATCTGGTTGAATGTCTGAAATTGCCGTCGACGCCGAGGTGAGTTGCGGGGTTTTCCAGAGCTGGATTCTCTCGCTGGATGATCTGATTTTGCTGAGTTTCTCAGGGACTCTCTGCCCTGGTTCCGAGACATCTGGATTCACTTTATCATCGTTCCCTCTCAGATTCTGCGAAATGGTGTGGAGTAGATTGACTTTATGGTCTTAATAGTCCGGGTGTTTTTTTCTGGTCTCCTTCACGACCTGCCGCATTAGCTTCGAGAAATTACTCATGTAATTCTTTGCGTTCTCGTAAGCACTGGACCCATTTTTCATCTCGTCTACTGTTGTCGTTTTATTGACGGCCCCGAAACTGCACTCGGTACTGCTTATAGTCCTTGACAGGCTTTTGGCCCGCAAATGGATGTTTGCATGAGACCTGCGGCATTGGCTTTCTGTAAGCTTTTTTATGTGAATTTTCTGCGATGTGCTCAGTTTGGTCTGTATATGGAAGAGTCGATATGCGTGATCGAAAGAGTTGATTCGCATTCAATGCGTTCTCATCTGTGTTGGAACGACATCCGTTCCATTTGAATTTCGACCACGGATGCCTGAATCTGCGAATGGAGGATGCTAGTTTTGTTGTGTCTTTCACCCGGATCTTGTCAGCAGCTGAGATGAAACGCGAAGTTACCTCCAGGTGTACCTACGCGAACATCATAGAGTCTTCTTCATAAATTCAGCTGGAAATGTTCGTACACAATGTTAGCTGGACATAATAGCTGACAATTTGGGCATTTCAAAAAAGATGCAAACATCTGACGAATTGTTTACTTGTTGCAGTCAGGCTCGAATGGCAAGCATCGTTTGACGTTGATGCTGTCGATTTCAAAGAAAGGTTAATGTCCGCCCCACCCAGCTCTTGACGAAGATGAGTAGTGATCGTGGAAAACCTTACGGGACAAGAGATTATTTGGTTGACGATTTCTCGTCGCCCCCTACGAGAGTTGTCTGGAGTCCTCTTTTCGAGAACAGCCCTGGGAAGAATCACTCTTCTAGAGTCCGTTCCTCTAGTCTGAAGGACCTCAACATCTCATCTGATGGAGAACTACCTCCTGGTTGGAGAACTGCAGAGGAGCAGCAGAGGAATTTACTTTTAAGGAAGTACATTTCTCCCAGGAGTAACCATTCTGGTAAGGGTTGTGTTACAAGCTCAGACGAAGACTGTTCTCGAAGTTGGAAGGCAGCTAAGCTAACCTACTCCGGGTTACAGTTCGTCTCGACCGAAGTGGATCATCATTCACATCGTGAAGAGCAGGCGATGTCAGGAGGACGGAGAGAAAGCCAGGAGAGGAGGAGGTATTCAGAAGGCAGTTACGGCCTCAGGTATGGGTATGATGTCGGACCAACCTCTCGGAACTCTGACAGTGACATCTCCGCCCGCCGAAACAAGGAGGTTTCTTCGTTGAAGTTTGTGGATGAAGGTGAATCAGCACGTGGAATGAGGAGACATATCTCTAGAAAGACTTCGAGCTTAATCAGTGAAGGTTCTAGAGGCAATAATGTATTGGACGCACCTCAGGAAGACTGGAGTGAAGGCGAGCTTAAGAGGACGCGAATGGAGACTACTGGCGCTGAAACGTACACTAAGCAGAGAAGAAGCAAGATTCGGGTGTTGGAGGAAAGTGAGGACTTGAACTGCGAAAGGAAAGATGCTGGCGTTTGTGGTGTAGGAAGTGGTGGCATAGGACGTGGAAGAGTTGTGAAGGGGAAAGAGCTATCTAAGCAAAGCGGAAGAGGATATGTGCATCAGCGACTGGTCCAAGAACCTTACTTAGAAGCCGGGAAAGTCATGATTGCTGACGATAAAGAGGACTGTATTCAAAAGAGCAGAAATCGGTCCGTGGCTGATAGTTATATTAACGTGGATGGGAAGGGGTCGTCGTGGAAACCGGGGATTTTTGAAGATGACTCGGACCGGGATTCGCTGGCTCATGACACCCGGCCTCCTTGTCAAATATCGACGGAGTCAGCACTGCATAACAGAAAAAGCTTCAAATGGTGTAGGTTTGATGACCCTCTCACGGCCTCTCCCAAGAACCGTACACCTACCTCAGAACCAAACAGAGATAGTGCCACAGATCAGAGCTCGACAGAGCTTGGCAGTAACGCAGATTCTCAAAGTCTGGACCGTAATGAGAAATTTATATTAATGCATAAAAACCCTGGCCAGCGGCTGGCCTTGCTCAAAGAACCAAGTGTCACAGGGAAAACCCTGATTGATCAGCTGGAAGGAAAGTCGAGGAGGAAAGTATCGTCTGATGACAGGTGCAATTTTAGCCAGGTAATTATTCTGACCATGGATCTTCCGCTGTGTTGGCTGTTAAAATTGTCTATGCTAAAATTCCGTCCTGCGTTCGACTTTTGATATATTTTCATTGTGTGATGTTATCACTTCCCAGGGAAGTGATGCCTCCAAAACTTGTCACAAAAGCTCGTTCTTAGAGAGCTGTACGAAGCCGAGGAAAGCAAGATATGATAGTGCAACCAGCAGGGATCATAGCACGGTGACCACGGACAGAGAAAGGGATAATACCGGGGTTTCGATGGAGGAGTTCAGCAGGAAGAAAAGGAGTCTTAGGAAGAGAAGAAGTCAATCACCATCAGCTGCTGTGGCTTGTGCAGCATCTATGATTGGGGATACCGTGGATGCAGTACGCAAGGTGAGAGAATACGCTGCTGAACTGGCCTTTAAGCTGGCAGAGCTTCATGCTCATGATGCAAAATGTCTTCGCTCGGCAGCGACGGTCATGCGTCATCACGTTGATACCCTTCACACTGAAGTTCATGTAAGGGTTCAAGATTAGTTTGTGTTCTACCATGTTATTTCTACCCGATTTGGAGTTTCAAAAGGCTTTCGGTGTTGCTTTGAAGTTGCGAAAGACGATGATGACAGGCGATTTCGAGTGTACGCGATCTTCTCGAAGTCTACGTCTGCTTCGCTTTGCGCTCTGAAGGAATGTTGTTTCTGTCGGTGCCGTGGATCTAGTAGTTTAGTGCACCAACGAGTGTAGTTTTCTTCGCTCCAGCTTTAATCTCGTCTATGGATGGCCCCGAATGCCATCCATATGTTGTCAATTTGCAGAGCTTCCAAGCACATTGGGTTAGGAGAGATAGTGTGCAGTTCCCTTGGAACTGTTTTTGGCGAGAGTTTCTGGTGGCCGCGAGTCTGGTATCTGGGGTTTTCAGTGTACAGGCATGCATCAACTCAGTAAGAAGTGCTCTTGGTGAGTTTTTGCATACCTTTCCTCGTACGCAGGTCTTCTAACACTTCTTTTAAATCTTGTTCATAGCATGTTAATATGTGTTATTGCTGTTTCATCAAATCTTTGTAAGGAGTTCAGCATCCATGAATTTGGCCAAGCGGATCATGAAGAACCATGTACATCTGATGATTTGTTTCATTTACATGCCCACATTATTTGCTGTTTGTCTAATATATCGAAGATATATCTTTATCCACTTTTTAGTTTTTTGTTTGGTGTTTGTAAATGACCTCTACCATACGCAGTCGAGAGAATTCTCCCCATGTATGTGGGTCATACTATAGTGGATAACGTACGGAATTTTTCACGCTGGTTGAATGAAGATGATTGACGTCGAACTTTACTTCGTGGACCACAGGATCGTTGAAGCAGACAGGGAGTCGGAGAGAGAAAGTAGTCCTTGCTGCCGTCTTGCTAACTGTAGGTGCAAGATTTGGAAGCGGTGTATATCAGGGCTTGGTAAGCAACTTTTGGACATGTTGACCTTTGTAGAATACGGAGGACTGCCTGGGCCACAGCACCGTCCTGAAGTTTTGGTATATTTTGTGTCTTCATGAAGCACTTTATGAGAGACTGTGCTGACTAACTGAAACTTTTCTGGAGCAGGGCCAAGTGAAATCCGTAAGAAGGGCTCGAGATAAACAATTACGAGAGCACTTGAAAGTCATCATGGAACGTACTACTTTGTTATCTACTTTGGCTCACACCGACCCGACCAATTCTTCCTTCGACTCATCCACTGAGGTAGAAGATGATAGACAAAGTATGTTGTATAGTAGGTAAAGTTGAAAGCTTGCTTTCAGATCCCCGTCCTAGGATGTGGTTTAGTGGAAATCTATCTCACAGATACGGGAAAGTCTCAAATCAGTTCAAGTCCACTTTTGTGGCACTGTTATAGTTAAAAAGTCTCGCATTTACTATCCTGAGTTAACCCATGGGTCTTCATGTATAGTATATGGTATATGTCTCCTTTCACCACTTCGTTCAATTTTTTATGATGATTCTAGGAAAGATGTGATGAGTCCCTGCTTTCGTAAGCTTTTTCCATGAGATTGAAGAGTATTTTGGTCTTTTGATCATTGCCACGAAAACAATTGCGATACTGGACAAAGCTCCCGAAACGTCAGAATGATGCTTCAAAACTTGTTTCGCTTCCGAAGCATCAATTGTCTAGTATCAGTTGCATTGTCGTTGACTTGTCACGCGTAGAGTTTGTAATCACCTACCGCGTGGTAACAGAAAGTTCTGTCTTGTTCTGTAACCAGTGGATATGGCCACGAACGTTGTAGAAATATGGTGTTTTTTGTGCTCTCTTGCGGGTTCTGTATAATCATATCATGCATCATACCATACCAAAAGTAGAAGTACATAATCTAGAGAAGGAGGACTGGAGACGATATGTAATGAAAACATGTAAACATTATTATTGCGTTGTACGACGACCGGACTAATTTCTTACCGTGTATCAATGTTGCCACACATAAAATTCTATAACTGATTGAGCACCGATGGAAAGAAAAGACTACCGTAAAATTTCGTCGAAGGCGTGGAAGTTTTTATGCTGCAACGTCAAGGGTTCATTTTGAGTAGACGTCAGCTATTGAAAGCTTCGCAAACTTCTCTTTGAGCATTCCTTGTTCGCAAAATCACATTTTATTCCAGACGAGTTTTGTCTAAGCAAAACATATCATCTAACATCATCAGTCATACTTATGATTCATCCTCATAGCAAGTTCATTATCTCTATGTGATAATCTTAGGAATTTAAATAGAAGAAATCTAACACACGCTGAAATCAGTATTCTTCATGAATTGTATCAATTTTAACATGTGTGTTAGTTGTCAATTACTTGTACTTAAGATTTCTGTTTTAATCTTATTCTTTTGGACAAAGGACAGAACAACTTTTGTAATGTTTTTGAAAACTCCATATATGTTATAAATTCATCTTAATAAGCATCGAAATTTTCCAAGCCTTTTTTCAAAAAAAAATTAATCTCATTTAATTTTTTTAGCTTGCTGAAATTATTTTATGCAAAGTTTGCAATATTTAGGAATTGAATCATTTAATCTGATTCAAAAATTTCCGCCTATTAAGAGATATGCTTTTGTTAGTTTTTCCTCATTTGATTATTTTAGATTGCCAAAAGTACTTTATGCAAAAAATGTAATATTTAAGAATTGAAGTGTACACTTTGGAAATTGTTAAACTTTTATTAAACCCAGGTTCTAGAAGCTAAGTAAATTAAGGTATTATTAATTCTTAAACCATAAAATGTATTATAGCAGCTTATACACAGATGAATCATTTTACTAGCGAATTTTACTACAACTCGTAATAATGTCAATTCCATAAAATTCAAAATTTTCATAAATATGTATTGAAATTCAAATTTGATATTGAACAATTTTGTGAAAAAATTAACTATTATGTTTAGTTTTTAACATTCACTGTATTTTTGCAATTGTGATGTAGATCCAATTTCAAGTATTAACTCAAAATTATTTTGATTGAGTAAATTTCAATGATTATCAAGTGCTAATCACTATATTTTTAAATTAAAATTTTGAGTCAGAATTTCACTTTTCGAATGTAAAATTAGTCAAATTTATTTAAATTAGGAATTTTTCAAGTAATAATTTTTTATTATTCATCTCATAAACAGCTCATTTTTTCAAATTTCAATAATAATCTTCTCAAAAACTCACATCTTATATTATATTATTTTTATAAAATTTCAATACTGCAAATGTACTTTCGTTGACACAAATATATCCACCAGTGAGAATCAAAAGCTTCAATTCAGAATTCTGATAAATTTTAATTGATTAAAATTATGTTACAAGTTTTATTTTTGATTTAAAATAAGATTCTACTTTTATCGTTGACTTAAATATAACATCTAATCATAAGAAAGGCAATAAAATATGGAATTGATAAAATGTATCATTATGTGATACAATGAACATTTTTTTACATTTTTGAAAAAATCTACTAGTTCAAATATTGTGAAAAATGTAACTCAAAAAATACATGTTAGGTTGCATGTGTTTAAACAGTTTGAGTGTAAAATAAATGATTCATAATGATGCTTGAACATAATAAACATTATAATGAAATTGGAAAGATGATCATTAGACGCATAAAACTATTATCAAAATGAAAAGTTAACTATATATAATATGCAATTAGCAACACTTCTAGTGCAATTTATGTCCACTCTTCATTGAATCTGTTAGAAAAAAAAATTCTCAAAAATATCTATATGTGAATAGCTTTGATATGATTATAAAACTGATATCGCGTGTGGAATAATTCATGTAGATCCCAAAGATTATCGGCCCATGAATGTAAGTAAAACATGAAAAAATGGTGGATGTCATAAACAAGTCTTATACCATTTTTCATCACAAATGTCAAGAAAATTTATATTTTATAATGTAAATGCTTATTGGTTTAAATTAACCACAACTGGATAGCAGAAAGTGAGCCGCTCTCCACACAACAAAGCAGACTGACCAGAAATGAAATGTTCCAATAAGACAAACTCAAATTTCTACTTAATAATGCAACAAAATATAAACGCTTTATCTCCTTGCTGGTAGCGAGCATCATAAACATCATCCTCCATAGTGAACGTCATTCCGAAAGTAGGAAATCAGCATGTACCCTTCTTGAAAACAAAGACGGCTAGTGTCCAAGACGGAATTGTCAAACTGTCATCAAATGCGAGAATTTCCAGCTTTCCTGCCCCTCTAGGCAGGAATTTGTGTTATAGGTGCTGTAGGCTGTACCCCAACTGATCTGGCGAATCTGTCGGTTAAGGAATGGAATCGGAGGTTTGGGATCTGGCAGACAAGAGCAAGAAAATGGAATGAGGAGAAGGCAGTCAAGGAACGAACTGACTGACTGACTGACCGCCCGTCCGTCGTGACCTGAGTCAGCTGACGTGACGTGCTGCTGCTGCGACGGACTGACCTGGACGGACGCCCGCAATGGGGTCCGGCGAAGAACGAGAAGCGGGATGGGAAGATCGTGAGGCCCATTGAACCATGCCTGAGCCGGACCGCAAGCCGGACCGGGAGGCGGAGGCTCGGAAACCGCCGAGCGCCACGTGAGGATCACTCTACTGTCTGTCAGCGCGATCTTCAAAGTTGAATTTCGTCGCGAGCGGAGCAGTCGGGACGCTAGCTCGCTAGGCGGCCGGACAGACAGAGTCATGCGGACGGATGGCGCCTTGGATCTGGTAGGTTGTTGACCCGGGTCCCGTCCCGGGTTAGATCATCCGACCAGGACGTACGCTCGCCTGCCTGCCTAGGCGCCTGACGGACGGACCACCTGCTTTGCTGCGTGCCTGCGCAAGGCTTCGCACCTCAACAATGTATTGCTCGGCATTGATATGCACTCGCTGCTCTCGTCCGCCCGTGGCGCTTGCGGGAGTGTATTGTATGATGATGAGAGGCGATGCGAGCGATCGAACAGAATAGACGAGGAGAAGCAGTAGGAGAAGGAGCGAGAGGACGAGGACGATGATTTGTGTCGGTCAGCGCAGGAGAAAGACCGAGCCGGGGAATTGATTGCGAGTTTCTGCGTCGGAGGTGAGCGGAGGAGGCTCGCCGCAATTCGGGCGGAGGAGGAGCGTGCGAGGGAGTAAGGTGGTGGAAAGGAGGAGGAGGGCATTGGGATGACATTGAGCTAGCGGGCTGTAGATGAGCAGGAGTAGGCCAATGTCCGTCGTTGTAGATCCGCAATCGTGTTTTCGTCTCGGAAGTTTGAACTTGTCGTCTGTGGATAATCTTCCTCTGGGACGAGCGCATCTCGAGGGTTGACGGTTGACGGTTGGAGCTTGGAGTTTGGAGCTTGGAGCAGCGAGAGGGTGAATGGCAAATCTTCAGGTTTTTGAGGACTATTTCCGGAGAGCAGATCTCGATAAGGATGGCAAGATCAGTGGTGGTGAGGCAGTCGGATTTTTCCAGGGCGCCAATCTTCCTCAGCAAATCTTGGCCAAGGTCTTAATTCTGCTCTGTCCCACTTGAGAACTTCCGAGTTGTATCGTTACAGATCCCTGGCAGGCATTTGAATGCTCTTGTGTGCACCTGTGTTCTGGATGCATTCGCCCGCATCCATTGGCATCTGAAAATCTTTGCTCGCCCGGAGAAGTAAATTGCTGCTTGTATTTGGCTTCAACACTTTAGTACTGTGATGAGTACCTTCAATGAATGCTGTGGGATCCGTCTGAGCTTTTCAAATCGCGCTTTCCTGAACCACCGAGAATGTCGTGTGGACTGCAGATTTGGCAGTTTGCAGATCAAGGGCAGACAGGCTTCCTTTCGAGGCTCGAGTTTTACAATGCTCTAAAGCTTATAACTGTAGCCCAGACGGGACGGGAGCTCACACCAGAGATTGTGCGAGCAGCATTAGCGGGACCTGCTGCTGCACAAATTCCAGCTCCCCGTATAGTGACCCCTGGAGCACCTCCCCAGCCTTCCGGTCCTCCGGGAGGACTCGGAGCAGCAGGAGCAGCAGGCAGACCTACGCCGGGCCCTGCGCAAGCCGGCGCAGGAGGCTTCGGCGATCCATTTGCCGCATCTGCTCCAGGTGCTGCTCCTCCGAGTCGTTGGCAGTCTCAGCCATCTGCCCTGCCCTCGCAATTGCCGTCACAACCCTCATTGCCACCACAAGCAGCCCCTGCAAGACCAGGATCAGCATCCGGACAACGACCTGCTGGAGGACACCCCCAGGATACTTGGCCATCTATAAGATCTTCTGCTTCTGCCTCCTCTCTTCAAAATTATGGCCAGCAAGCTCAAGCGCAGGCTCCGGCTTCGGCTCCTCCACCTAGTTCTGTGCAATCGATGCAAAGTTTCCTTGGTGGTCCAAATGCCGCAGCAACTCCAGCGCAGTCGGCAAAAGATCCTTTCGGAAGCCTTGGATCAGGACCAGACCTCTTCAGTAGCTTGAGCAATACTCCAAATCCCAAGTCTGCTTCGACAGGCACAATCACATCACTGACTGATGCTTTTGGAGGCGATCCCTTTGCTGCGAATAACAATAAGTCTCTTGCACTAACTTCTCAACCTCCCGTCCAAAATCCTGGGCCAGCGAACAATGTCGATGCTTTTTCAGGTCTTGGAGATTTTGGTGGTGGAGGATTCAGGGCAGAACCTGCGGCAACAATGGCGTTGGTTCCTACCGGTGCTCCAGCACCTGCTCCTAAGGATCCTCAGGCAGCCCCCGGAAGCCAGCTAACTCGGTCTCTCGTGCCGACTTCATCAGCAGCATCAGGACCAGGATTTTCTGCTCCCTCACCAGCAGGTCCAGGAACTGGTGCTGCTCCCTGGCCCCGCATGACACAGGTCGACGTTCAACGTTACACCAGAGTTTTCTACGACGTGGATACAGACAAAGACGGGAAGATCACCGGCGGGCAGGCCAGAGATCTCTTTCTTAGCTGGGGACTGCCCAGAGGTAAAAATCACAAATACATATATCTGTTGATTTTCTGTGAAAACTTCCTAGCTCCCTCTATCATATGGGATAGTCAGCTACATTTGCGCGTACTGAGTTCCAATACATGGGAAAAATTGCATGCTCAACCTCCGAAAATACAGTGTCCCCAGTTCCGCCGATGCTGTTTTTTTCTTACAAACAGTTGAAATGATGGGCTGTACTGATTGGGCTTCATTTGTCTTTTAAATCGTCTCTGGACATTTAGTAGAAGCATCGCCTGAATCTTTCTAACGTGCACAGTATGTAAGATATTGGAAAGATTGAAGGATGTATGCTTCTGTTCAGATGCTGGATATTTTTGGCCTCAATGTTGACCTAATCAAACTGGAGTTATCTTTGCAGAGGTTCTGAAGCAGGTTTGGGATTTATCGGACCAAGATGGTGACAGTGAGCTCTCTCTACGAGAATTTTGCACCGCCTTGTACCTCATGGAACGATTTCGGGAAGGAAGGCCTTTACCGCCCGTTCTTCCCACAGGATTCCACTTTGACGAGCCCCCTCAACAAACTTCTGTGGCTGCATCTCGGATTGAGCAGGCTCGTTCTTCTATGGCTCAACACACGGCTGGTTTCAATGTACCGAGCTGGCAACAGAATCCAGGTGCTGAGTCTTAACCTCAGAGGATATAAGGGGCGAAATTACATTGTTCTAGCATCTTGATTAGCTGTCATTCGTTTGCTCGAGCGATTGCTTGCAAACCAAGCTTTTACATCCGCGTGGTGTACTAGATACTCTGTCTACTGGCAAGTGCCCACGGAAAATTATATTGAGTTCAGAAATCCCTTACATGGCCTTCTGGTTTTTTGGTTTTAGGGATGCTTCAGCCCACTGGTCCAGGACCAGCCGGTATGCCACGAGGACCAGCTGGTATGCAACCAACAACAATGGAACGCTCCTTACCTCAACAGGGTTCAGTTCCAGGAGGTGGGATGCCTGAGCCTAGCCAGCCTGGTGTTTACAAATCCAAGGCTCCCGTTCTGGAACCTCATTTACTGGCTCAGTTATCGAGAGATGAACAGGACACCTTGAAGTCTAGGCATAAGGATGCGCAAGAAGCGGATAAAAAGGTACATATCGACACGTTTAGTTGCTTGACGTAATTAACTATCTGATAATACTTGAGCATGCTGTCCCATTTGGTATGTGTCCCATTTTTCTAATTGTCTTCAAACCTGATTGTATTTGTAATCGTGATATCACACATTTTTCTTCAGCAAGAGATCTATACTGAGGTGGTCTGAACGATTTTCATAGGCAGTAGAGGTTTATCTTGACGTCTATCTGCACATCTATTTAATGGTTTTGACGCCGCATCGTATGATAGCGAAGAACGTTTGCTTTCGAATTGAGGTCGTCTGTGTTAGACTTTAAGATAAGTAGAGCGTCCACCTCACTAACGGTGCAAGCGAACTTGGCTGTGCCTGGAAACGATCATGGAAGTATGTGTCGGCTACTCACCTTGAATTTCTCACAATACGAACAGATCTTGAATTCATGTTCCTTGAAATAGATGGATTACTGCAGCTGTTTTCGTGTTCCAGGATCTGGATACTTTGATGAAAATTGAATTACTGAACTTCTCGCTGAATCCAAGGAGTCCTCCTGAAAGCACGAGTGCATATTCTTCAGCGGAAGAGTACACAAATCAAGCTCATGAAAGTCGAAGAAGCTAGGAAAGATTTTGGAACGTTGTCGCTTACAATCAGGAAGCCTTACCGATTGCTCAATCATATCGACGTTTTATCTTTCAAGATTTATCTGTTCAGGGCAAGTTGTCGTTGAACACATCGGGAACATAAAAGTTCTTCTCATAGTCTTTTGTGCGTAATGCATGTCTGTTGTTCTTCTACGCACCATTCGCTGGCTACGTAGTTGACTTACTGTGTGTGCTCAGTTGACTGCTTCATGTTGGCAAATACAAGGTTGAAGTAATAGCACTGCTTGAATTACTGCTCTAACACCTCTTTCCAGATGAGCCGGAACTTGTTTATTAGCTGATTTTGCTAACGTTAAGAAAAATCACTTTTGCTTAAATAAAAGTCTTCTTGTCTGTGTAGCTTGTAATTTATTCAAGACCTCCGCTAAGGAGGAGTATTAGATAATAGAATAGATCAGTCACAGAGCCTTTTGATCTCTTTATAGGCCTGAAAGAATACACCAGATTAATTTATCGTTTGTTCTGCGTTTGGAAGTAATTGTTCTGTGGATGGATCTGGATTAATCACTAACCGGTGTGATGGTCGGTAACCTTTGCCAGCTATGAGTCTTGTCAATGATCTCCGTATCTTTCTGCTTGTAAGAGGTCTTTATCACTAAACAGCGTCCTGTATTTGATGATTGTTTTGTGATTCGATGCATTAGTTACTTCTTTTGCCTTTGCTCGAAGACCGAGAAATGTATTGTGTGCTATGAGACGGGAACCTTGACCCTTTTGGAATGAGTTGCTATTGAACCGTGCATTTGAAACAAAAACTTCGAAGTGCTTCCAGATTGAGATGATTATTCACATTTTTGTAATGGCAGTCTCATGATTTAGATAAGGAGATCATGGACTACAAGGAGAAGGCGGAATATTATCGTACCAAGTTGCAAGAGATAGTAAGTGGATCACAACTGCTCTCTGGATTTCTTAGGTGACCTCGCAAGATCCATGAACAAATTCTTTAATACTTTCTTCAAAATCAGCAACTCTCAATGTTAGTTTATCAAATAGAATGAAGTGCTCACCTAGAGTGTCTTATATTCGTCCAGATATTGTTCAAGAGCAGATGTGACAACCGACTCGCTGAGATTCAAGAGAGGGTATCAGCTGACAAGCGAGAGGTATACTTTTATATATTTTACCAAAAAGTGATGGGCTCATCAGGAATGGTCGTTTGTGAGGAGTGTTATCGCAGTTTAGGAGGTTTGTCATGACTTTTCTATCTGCGGTGTTTGTAAGAATGGGATCCTATGCGCGTTGATCAATGTGATACTTTTATGTTTTGCGATTTCCATCTGAAGATTTCTACCCTGTGGTCGGCTTCGTATTGTTCTTTCACGATTTGCTGAGAATTAACTGGTCTAACGAACTACAGATGGAGTCTCTGGCGAAAAGATATGATGAGAGATTCAAGGCAGGAGGTGAAGTGAATTCACGGCTGGTTGCTGAAGAAGCAGCATTTCGAGATATTCAGGTTTATCTCTTATGGCAGTGATATTCGTAATATCGTTGTGACATCTGTTTCTGTCAATATGTATGGCTCAATCGAAGCTCTTGGCAATGATGATCCAAACCCCACTTAACCCTACCGATATGTTTCCATCCAGCCAAAGATTAAAGAAGGAATGAAGGTTTGAAATTAATATCACTTTCTGCTTGATTCTAGTTTCTTAGATATAGTAAAGAGTCTTTGTCTTCAGAAACACTCCACTCCAGTCGAGTTTTAGGAGTGTTCGACTTTTTGTTTAACTTACATGTGTTTGAACATTGTCTGCAATTTCTACTTCATTACAGGAGAAGAAAATAGAACTGTATAACGCTATCGCCAAAATCGAACAAGGGGGGGATGCAAATGGATTGCTCCAGGTACTCCTGCGCACGCTGTAAATGGCGAGAAGGAATATGCATCTCTGTTGTTGTAAATCAGAGCTTTCATATCAAGTTTCAACTTGCAACGGACCTTCTTTTAGTCGGTATATTTCGACTATTCTGTCTGGTGGTGTGTTCTCATGTAGCGCTTTGTGGTCAACAGAGTAAAGCAGATCGGATACATCACGATCTCGATGAATTGAAGAAGGCTCTTAATGAAAGGTCGAAACGGTTGGGTCTGGAAGTGAAAGCATCAGCTCCAACAGAGCAGTCATTTGGTGCGTAATCTGAATTGTTATGAGTTTGTCCAGTATGATTACGCAAGATTGGCTCATGACAGTCCCGGGCCCTGTCGGACAGTTTTTTGGTTTTGGGGTGTCTGACAAACAAAGTCCGGCTTTAGGGCCCGTCGAACCCAGGGGCCCCTTATATTTTTTACCGGGCTTAGGTCTAAGTACTCTTCGGGCAGGTTCAATTTGGGTTTACGAGTGAGTAATGAATATATTGCTCTGTTGCTGCATGTTATGAGCAGGTTGGCAACCGGGTGTTCAGGACAATACCTCAGAGTGGGATGAGGATTGGGATAAATTCGATGATGAAGGTTCGTGCTTCTTCATTCTAGTTTTCCAGCTGCTTAATATATAGCTGTTGAGCGATGAGTATCACCTCGAAGACTACTATAGCTGGGTCTTAGTGGCGATAATTGTTGAGATTTTTAACACTGTGTATGGAATAACGGCTTTGTTGTGTCGTTTTATCATTTCCATTTACGCATTGTTGGTAGATGAGTGGCTTGACTACGGGACTTGTCCTGTCCTTGGGTTTTCTATATTCCAGGTTTTGTTTCGGTTCAGGATTTCATGGACGATGCTACGGGCGCTGACTTCAGCGCTCCTCCTCCTCCGCCTAAACGAGCTGTCGCTCCCGTTGAGGTTGCCCAAGTTGCTGAGATCACGGCTCCCAAGATTGAGAGCAGTCCCTTCACTGATGGGTTCGATTTCTCGTCCGAACACGATAGTAAGGCTGAGAGTGCAGTGGAGGCTCCTTCAGTCCCTACTTTCATGGCATCTGGACCAGCATCTCCTCGTGCTGAAAGCGAATCCGGAAGAAGCGGAATTGACAGCCCAGCGCGCGATTTGTCCACTTCTGGTTCTCTAATTGTAGACAAGAGCAGTTTTGACAGCCCTGAAAAGACGAACAATGCTAGCCTAAGGTGGGCATGATTAATCGTCCGGAAAGCGTACGAGTTGATTTATTTCAGGAAATAACGAAGAGAGAACGCCACATTCTTATGTGGCGTTCTCTCTTCGTTTGCAGGAAGTTCAAGGAATCCTACTCACTCGATGCATGGAATTACAGGTTTGACCATGCCGCCGATTCAGACGACTTCGGAGGCGATGTATTCAATGATCCTCCAGCCTTTAGTTCCAAAACAAACAGGTAGGTTATACATGGAAGGAGCTTGTCACTGGTCCTCTTTGGCTGCATGTTTCTCTTCCTTGTGTTCTCCTCTGTCCTGACTTAGACCTGTCAGAACCTTCTCCTGCTTTAAGAGCAAATGACTCAAGACTCTCTGGGGAGAAGTTCTTCATGACGTGTTCTGCCTTTAAATTCTCGCTTGTGTTCTGGGACAGCTTTGATCCGGATCCGTCTTCATTCCACTCCGGTAGCGACGCGTTTGGTGGGGGAGGTGTCTCGTGGTCGACTGCCTTCAATCATGATGACGAAGCAGACTCCGGAGTGCGGGCGTCTTGGGGCATGCAGAGCAGTGCTCCTAGCACCCAGGTAAGAGCAGTTGCGTTCAGCAGTAGAAGATGGATGATAGGAGTCTCCTGTGACATGCTGTGACCTCTGTCAAGCTTCAAAATTGGTCTCGGTGTGCTGGCCTATGCTTGCAGCAGTTTTCCCTGCTTTGTTCGCACGTGGCAAAATGATAGAATCAGCTGACAAGACTTTTGAAAACAGGCATCCCTGGACGTGGGAGGAAAATCTCGGTTCGGTAAATCCGATTCATCAACCTTCGGGGATTCTTTCGACTTCGGGTCGTCTCACGTGACGAGTCCAGGTAGAGTTACGGATGAGCCGAATAGTCCAGCCAGTCATCGTGGGAACGGAGACTTCCGAAATTCTGAAGAGTACGATACTTTTGCACCTATGGGCGGTGCTACATTTGATCGATCTGCAAGCCTCTTTGGAGGCAAAGATGCGACCATGGGGTCCTCATTCTTCGACAGCCCTGCACATCCGAAAGCGGGAAATGCCTTCGCTAGGTTTGATTCCTTCAGCAGCCCCTCCAACAACCCAGCTTTCTCCGGAGTGGCTGGTCACGACGATCGACAGGACAACTCAACGATGGGAAGTTCTTACTTCGATAGTCCTGTGCATCCGAAGGCCGGGAACGATGCCACCTTTGCCAGGTTTGATTCCTTCAGCAGCGTGAAGGGCGGTCCCGACGCTGGCCACGCAAAGGGGGGGATGTTCGGGTCGTTCGATGATGGTGATGATGCCTTCACCTCTTCCGCCTTCGGAGCAGGGGGAGAGTCCAAGAAATGGAGTGCTTTTTAGGGAAATATTCTGTGCTTGCGTTCTTTGCCTGAAGCATGTGGTGCTATCCACACCTCGCGTAAGCCTCATCTTGCTGCCCTCTCGACGTAATGTTTTAATTGAACCCCTGTCATGCGCAAAAGTGGGTCTCGTGGCAAGGCAGCAGTGCTTTCAGGTCCTGCATGCCTCAAGCGAGTAAACCTTCTGCAGCAGACTTGGTTAATGAGGTGCCGTGTGATCGGCCGAGTCCCACCTCCGAGTAAACTTGCTACATTCTGGAACTCACTTCAGCTCTTGTAATCTTAGAAGATGATCTTGGCAAGTTCTAGAATACCATTGTTTAGTTAGTTAGTAAATTTGATGACAAGGTTCTTCAAGGATTGATATGATAGAACGAAATTAAAAGGAGACTTCAGTGAGATTCTTTCCTGCTATAGAGCTCTGTACTCTTGGATAGGAAAAGAGTACGGTCGATGGAGTTCTCTCACTTGTCTGAACGTAATGCTGATGAGGGTTCATCTCGAACCGGTCATATGGCTGAGAAGACAATGCGCTATGGTTCCACGAGAGGGGTCACAGCTGCAGACTATCCCGTTGTTGACCTTGATCCAGTGATTCATTCGACGGGGCAAACCTCTTTATGTGCCGAGGTTGTTTGGAATGAGTAGTTAGCATATAAAGACTGTAGCCATTTAATGGTTACGGGGAGGCTTTCTCCCAGACAGAAAGTGCTTTCTTAGTAACGGACTCTGAATCAGGAAAATCTGGGGCTTTCCAATACTGCTGTGGAGACTGGCAATTTGTTCTGAGGGATTCTGCGATACAGGTCCGCGAAATCAGTAAAATCCATTACACATTTGCCGGTAGTCCTCGCCTCCCAAGGCTTTTCAAGGCCGGAACTGAGATCAGAAATTGAGTTGTCGTTAAACCCTTCAGTCGAGCTGAACTCCTTCTTAATACAGTGCAGAACACTATTTTATGGAGAGCTGAAATTATCACCATTCAACTGATCGTGGAATAAAGTTTTCAAAAAGGAGCTTGGTCTGTTCAGGTGTGACATGATGTGGGTTTTCTCTGGTGTAGCCAACAATCGTGTTGAATTCAATCCTGGAATCTTACTTAGACCATATGTGGGATCACGTCTCAACCCACCGAAGGTTCCTGTCGAATCACAAGCTTGGGACCGTTTTTACTGCGCACGATGCCCACAGGCTTGCTCGAAGTGGATTCTTCTGTTGACCAGAACTTTCCTGCCACAGGACTAAGAACTCTTCCATCGGCAAGAACTTACCTGGACTATGGAAATGCCTACCGCCATGTACTGCTGGAGTTAGGTCAAACGGAAAGCTTCAAGAGAGCCTCCCACGATCACATTCCCTGCGAGTCAAATCCAGTGCAGTCCAAAGAACTAGCTTCTACTTTAAGACCTGCACGCTTCAGTCAATCGAGCCCAAAATACCTTTCCATCACCATGTCGCGCCGCAGCTCGGGCCGTCGCCTATCCTCCCGTCGGCTTTCTGAGCAAATGTGGGTTCTCATCGACGCCGCGATTCCTGAGCAGTTCCCCGGTGGGACCCGTCCGTCAGCTGCCATTGTGAGGAGCGTGCACCCAACTGCAGCACGGCCTCCCTCTCTGCCTCGACCATCGAGGGGGTTGGTAGATCTTCCAACCGAGCTCGAGTATCGCGAGCCTACCCTTCCAGAGGGAGGCGTAGGCGTATGCGTACGGATGAGGAAGCAATCGAGGTACTGTAGAGGACGAACATGTGTACGCATCTTACGTATGTCACCATGTGACGTACGCACGTACGGACCTGCGGAGCGACATACGACCGAGCGCGAAGTGTATCGAGCAGAGCATGTGAGGTTCGAACAAGATCACACTGTGGTCTTCTCACTGCGTAGCATCACATGGCATGCCCGTTCATTCTAGGCCGTCGGATCTCGAGAATCCGCGGACGCGGAAGGGACTGCAGTCGGACGAGGGTAACGTGGTCGCCCTAGGCGTGGATGTGCGCTCGCTCGCCTGAGGGGAGGAGGGGAGGGCGGGGCGGGGCGGGACGGACCGGGGCGGACGTCATTCATTCCACTCACTCATTCTGCTTCGGCGGAGCGCGAATCCCGAATCCCCGAATGTCGAATCTCCTCCACCTTCCGATGCATCGAATTTCACATCCACTCCGGCGCCAATTCCATCCGTCCATGGATGAATGACTGAAGGAGACTTTCCTTCCGTCCGCGGAGCTTTGAGCGCCTGTACGTCAACGTCTGCGCGGCCATCGCTGCCGCGTCTATATATTCCGGACATCGCCAAGCAGCAACCATTGAGTCTCTGTGTTCCGAAGATTCTTGTGTCTGTTGTCGAGGGCACTCATCCTCGATTTCGACCCAAGTGCCTGCCTCCAAATCTGCTTCCGGAGCCATGCCTCCCTCCGGCTCGGACGTGGCCTACCTCGAGAGGATTCTCATGGGAATGGGAAACCCCTTGCTCGACATTGCGGCAGTCGTGGATGATGACTTTCTCGAAAGGTTCATGCCCTGCCCTCACTTTTCTTTACCCCTTGCCAGCGCATTTCGTTCATTCGTAGTCATCCTCTCTGTCTTCCGTTTCCGAGCGATCGATCGGACATTTCCTCCTTTACGCCAGGACACTGTCCGCTCGCGAGCCTCGAGATGTCGGTGCGTGCATTGGAATTCCCTTTCCTTGAATCGACCGGGGGCGACTCATGCAGTTACTTCCTCCAATCTCCAGTGCGGGAGACCTCTCCCTCTGTTTGTACGGACCTGATGCCGGCCAGGACCTAACAGGACGCGAGCCTGTACTGGCCAATGTTGAATGTGTGTGGATTTGTTATGGGAGCTTACCGGTTTTATCGGCGCCGCTCCTTATGCAAACAGAGGCCCTATGCATCTGAACTGAAGGCCTAGCAGCATCACATTATGTCTTAAACTCACGTGGTTATGGAATAATGATCTGAACATCCCGGGTTTTGGAGGTGTTGCAAATGCAATGGTTTCGCCGGCCACAATGCTCAGGGATCTCTTCGCCCTCGCCCTGTCTTGCAGTCCCCGAGGGTGCATTGTCTTCTTTCCTCGATGATTTGGGGTTATCACCAGCTTGGTCTGAAAGCAACACGGACCTTTTTTTTCTTGTGCAGATATGACGTTAAGCTTAACAACGCTATTCTTGCCGAGGAGAAACACATCCCTATGTAAGGCTCAAACTTCCAAATCTTGTTTTTTTCAGTTTTTTATTATTCTGCGTGCCTGGAAAGGGTCCTTCATTAGAATTTTGTCGTCCAAGTGCCTTTTGGATGCTGAGATGTCTCCCGGTATGTCATGTATTTCAGGTATAAAGAACTCGCCGAACTGCCGGACGTGAAATTTATAGCTGGAGGTCAGTGCTTTTAGTGACGGGTATTAGTTCTAATTATATTAAGTAGCGTTTCTCATCTCCTCACTGAAGGACGACGAGGCCTTTGGTATCACCTGGCTTGCGTACTAATTTTTTTTTTGGATTCACAGGAGCAACTCAAAATGCCATCAGGGTTGCACAGGTATTGTCGCAGCCCATGTAACTCTGAGCCTTGTTTCCGAAAAGTCTTTTTCAAATGATTTTTTTAAGTGTGGATTCATTCGTTTGTTTCTCAGTTCCTCTAATTAGTACTGCTTTCTTTTTCTACAGTGGATGCTTCAAGTTCCTGGAGCAACCAGCTACATGGGATGCATTGGCAAGGACGAGTTTGGTCAGGAGATGATCAAGGCCTGTTCAGCTGATGGTGTCAACGTGAGTGATACACAAGGCCGAGTCTTACTGTCTTTCACACAAGAATTGCGGAAAATGCGATATATTTCACTATTTCTAAGAGGTGAAGCTGTTCTTGTCCATGTGCAGGTGCACTACATGGAGGACGAAGAGCACCCAACTGGCACCTGTGCCGTGTTGGTTTGCAGGGGAGAAAGGTTGGTGCCGATATTTGATTTCTCTTTTCCTCATTTACCTACCTCTTTGTCTTTCTTTTAGTTATATGTGAATCAATGTCTGTGGCCGTGTTTTATGCGAGCTGGCGTTCACAGTATCACATTTGATGTAGCACATTTATGGTGTTAGTCTTCATGTCATTGACGCCGTTTTTATTTCAATTTCTATACTCAGGTCGTTGGTTGCAAATCTCTCAGCAGCTAATTGCTACAAGTCGGAGCATCTGCTGGAGCCAACGAACTGGTTTGTAGGTAAGGATTTCGCCCATTTGGTTCAATTGCTTCAAATGCACCGCCTATATCGGTGATATTATATCTCCCAGTCTTACTTAGCCTTGTGTCAGTCTTTGACTTTCTATACATCGCTTGTTTTAAGGTGGTGTCTGGAATGTGTGTTGTCGAATCATAACTGCGAAGTCTAGTTCCTGGTATCTAATTGAGTTCTTTTGACCTCACCAGCTGAGAGGGCCAAGTATTTCTACATCGCTGGCTTTTTCCTCACAGTCTCACCCGAGTCTGTACTCATTCTTGCCAAGCATTCTCTCACGGAGAAGAAGGTATGTGCTTTGTTTGGAAGATGTCAACACTTTCTTCTACGAGTTTTAATTTTCTCAGTCCCTTCAACCTTTACTTTGCCGTCGAAGGAGTTCATGAGAGTACATCACATTTTGCTCACCATTCTCTCATTATGCCGTGAATGTACCGTTTATCTCATCGCACATTCACATTTGCAGGTGTTTATGATGAATCTCGCCGCTCCTTTCATTTGCGAGTTTTTCACAAAGCCTCTTGTGGAAGCTTTATTGTGAGTACAAACTTCGTCCAACCTCGGTGGATCATAGCACCTATTATGGAGGTTGGTTCCTGAGAATATATTTTTTGATCCGCTTCCTACAGATGGTTGTTCTCACTCTGAAAGTTTGTTTCTGCAGTTACTGTGACTATCTCTTTGGAAACGAAACTGAAGCGCAAACTTTTGCCCGAGTTCAGGGTTGGGAGGTATGTCGTTCTTGTGCCCGATTAAACGAAATGCTGGTGATGGAACAATTTTATCAACACTAGACAGCTATCAACATTTGCCTTGTCTTTTTTTTTTCAAATTTGCGAAGAGCATTGCTGATAGTTCAGGGCGAATTTCTTTGATCCAAACTGCAGACGGAAGACTTGGGAGAGATTGCTGTGAAAATTTCACAACTACCACTTGCCGAAGGTAAACAGGAGCGGATTGTTGTAATCACTCAGGGAGGAGACCCGACCGTCGTTGCGCACGGTGGCAAGGTAATGTCGCCCAAGTATATCGGAGGTCGTTGAACTTCTTTTTCTCGTAGGAGATGAACTTGATTGAAAATCAAAATATTTTATCCAATTATGTCCAATTTTTCAATCCCTCTGTCGGGATTATAAAAAGAAGCCACTATTGCAACTAAGAAGCTTACTTCGTATTGTACACCACTGTATGTGCTTGTTCGGCGCAGTACTGACCGCTTTTTTGTATTCAATATAACAGGCAACCTTCCACCCCGTGAAACCAATTTCAAAGAATGAGATTGTTGACACCAATGGTGCTGGTAAGTGTTGGCTGAAACCCCTGTGTTTGAAAGGCACCTCGAGAAGAAACTATCGTTTCCATTGCAGGGCTTCGTTAGTCAGGTTTGGCTAACTGTTGGGTCGCGTTTTGGAAAAAGTTGCTGGTCATTCTCATGTCTACAAAATTACCTGCTACAGGCTTCTTTCATTGATCTTAAGTTTGTTTACACCCTCTCTTAACGGATGATGGATAATCATATCTCATCAATTATCTTATGGTTACTCGAGATGTCTGAAACTATTTTTCACCATACCACAAGAGCTGTCTCGCTCCCTACTTCTCTAACGCTTCTGTCTTGGGCAACACAGGGGACTCGTTTGTGGGAGGCTTCTTATCACAGCTGGTGCAAGGAAAGGATATCGAACAATGTATTCGGGGAGCAAACTATGCCGCCAACGTCGTCATCCAACATTCAAGTTGTACATACCCAGCAAAGCCCAGTTTTGAGTAGGAACATCAGTACCAGCTATTCGTATTTCACCGGTTGTTACAGCGTGAATGACTTGCGCGACAAATCATTTTTTGTACCAACTCGCGAAAATGGCGGGTGTGAGCTTCAGTTAGTATACCCTGCTTGTCGCTCGGGGTTTGTTAATAAAGACCAAATCCTTCTGTTCAAGACAGCTAGTCCTCGTGGTTTGACGGATTACAGTTGTGTACTACATAATCGTTAGTTCTGTGTGTGGTGTGTTCTTGGCTGATTCTTCAGACTGTCAGTATCGGAAGAACTAACTCTAAGAGGCGGCGCTTGGGATGTTTTGGTTTTCACAATCATGTCGAGTCACATCTTACTAATTGTTGTTGCGGAGAGTGTAGACATGTAGTCCTCGCGCCTGCTCACCATATTCCATATTTGGGAAATCGTGGAGATTTGTTCGAATTGCAGCCTGTTGAACATTGGAGAATGAAATTTCGAAATCTCTTAATCGGGTGTGCGCACTACTTAACACATCTGCGCTACACATTTCACACTCTTGTCATACGGCAAAATACAGAACAACTGAGTGTAAGAAACGGAGTCATAATATTTCACTGTATAACACACAACACATTCTAAGGATAGTAAGGAAGAACTTTCTCCTCATTTCGCGGATCTAATTATCATGCAACAGAACTATTTTTTATTTTTTATTCGCTTAATTTTGTTATATAATCAATGTATATATTATTCTCCATGGCTGTCTTATGGTAAGATTTATATTTGATTATTCTTTAACAAATACTTTACTTACTGGTATTAATTGTTTTAAAATCTATTAAATATATATATAGAAATAAATTTTAATTGTAAACATGTATATACATTGAACATCTAAATACTGTCAAATAAGGAATTCACGTCTGTATTATAAAAAAATATAAAAAACTAAAATTTTAATTGAGCAAAATAATTTTTTTGAAATGAAAATATGAGAAAATAGTGTTATGGGGAAAACTAGTTTCAAACATCTCGAGTAACCAGAAGATAATTGAGAGTAACCAGAAGATAATTGATGAGATATGATTTCATTCATCTTACCTAATATTATAAGGTAATTATGTTATATTTCTTATCTTTGACAACATCAAAAAGAGTGTGAAAAAAAGGAAATGAAAGAAAAAGAAAAAGAATAATTGTTCTTGCCAACGGCACAACACACAAATTCAATTGTTTTGATGGTTAGAGATAACGACAGCAAAGTTTGGAGTAATGAGATATAGGATAGTCAAGTTTGATGTACATGGTGATAATTTAATCTAGACAAAATTGAAAACTATAAATTTAGTCAAAACGTTGGGGCAGAAACCTTTTGTCTACAACGATGAAAATTTAAAAGATCTTCAAGAACAAGTAATCATACTATATTTACAACTTTTGATTCACTAACAATTGTACTCTTTTGTTTGAGTGTGTTGAGCAACAATTTCGTAATAAAAAATTGTCAAATATTCTATATGTTTTCTTGAAGTTGATGAGTTTCAAAATGGAAGATTGTATTATGAAGGTACAAAATCACATGGATAAGTTTGATGATATTTTCATTGATAATTAGAATCTTAGATAAACTATAAACTGATGAGAAGAAACCTCTTCATCTTTTGAGTTTATTGACATATGTCTAGCTTCATTTACAACAAAGTTATAAATGCTTTGTTGATTGATTATTTACAACAAAAAATGATGTTGTAATTTCTTTCATCTTCTTTATATGGTATTGTGATTTGAGCTTGGTCATATTCACAAACTAACAAGCCTAACAAGCGTTTTGGATCTAAGGATAATCCAAGTTTGGGCATAAATTCTTAGAAAGTAAAATCATGATATGTTGAAAATGTCTCAAAATTAGTCACATCAAGAAATAATGCATTATGAAGATCAAAGATGTTGATAATCTTTTAATCAATGTGGGTCAAAAATTTGATTACGAGGAAAATAAATTGTTGGAAGAATTACTAAACGATGAAATGTGATGTCAGAGATATGTTTTAATCACATTACCAAAAGAAGTTTATGATCTGTGGATTCTAGATGGTGCTTGTACTTATTACATTTTGATACTTTTTCATTATAAAAAAATATTGAATATCTTGGATCTATCAAAATTTAAACGTTTGATGAATCTAACGTACATTGATTAAAGTTAGATTTATATTTCATATGAAAAAATTTTTGCTTGTCCTTGAAATGTTAGACTCAAAATGTATTTAAATAAAGCTCTAGTAAGAGAGTGATTGAGATGAAAATATGTCTAAGATTATATTGAAAGATCATAAGTACAACAATCTAAATCTTTTAGAGAAAATTACCATATTTATTCTAAATATAGTCAATTTATCAAACTCAAGCCAAGTTTATGTATGTACGACATTCTAGGGTGTAACATAAGAGTAATAGGTACTTGACATTCCTATGCAATAGTATATTTTTACATGACAAAGAATAAATTGACTTGAAGTTTATGAATCTTGTATTATGGGCAAGCATCATAAGCAAGACTTTGTTGTTAGAACTCACAATTTCAATGAATAAATTGAGTATATACATAGTGATGAATGAAAACAATATCTAAAAAAATTCACTTTCTAGAAAAAATTACTATATATAATTTGTTGATGATTGTTTAAAATTTGTGTGAATTTATTTCCTCACAAAAAATGTTAATTCTTTACAAATTTTTTAAATAAAAAAGTTTAAGTTGAGAATCAAACAAGACAAAAAAAGAGTTCTTTCAGTATGGATAATGGTGAAAATATTTTGTTGACAAGTTTTGAAATTATTCCAAAGTGAAGGGAATTATTTGTATCTTATCACGATTTATAATCCGCATCAGAGTGTTGTTTTTGTAAAATTCAATTAGATAGTGTTGAAAAATGACACTTATTATGTTAAATCACTCTCATGAAGTTTGAATTGAAGCGATCAATACTGTATTATATTTTGTAAACCTTTCAATTTCTTGAAACTGTTTAAATTAAGTCACAAACCTAACGTTGATCATAGTTATTTGAAAATTTTTTCCTGTACAATCTATACTCTCATACTTAAAAGATCACAAATTTACATTGTACATCCAAAAATGGTCTTCTTGAATATGCTCGTGGTATGAAGTAATATAGGTTATGACATCCACTAACGTGTAAAGTTTTTTTTAATAAGGATTTTTCTTTGGATGTATCCAAATAATTGAAAAAGGGGTAAAGCTTTCAAAACTCTCATAGTGACAAGAACAAATCTTCACTCGTAAGTATTTTTAACTAGAAAATTGATCAATACGTGATTAATGATGTTACACAAGGAAAAACTCTGATATAGATGAAGCAATTTCATGAAGGACAAAAATCAGAGTTGCATGTTATTGTTGATGAGTTTCAACTGTCAGCATTAAACGATAGAGATCAATAAAAATCAACTTAGAAGAAATTATCAAATTGGATCTTACAAACTATGGATTATAGATTGCTTCATTCATTGTTGAAAATCTTAATATTGATATTGAAGATCATGATAGCATTGTGTTGATCTTAGAAGAAAAAAATCTTCTTTTTATAAGAAGATTAAAACACTATCAATACGCTTCAGTGAAATATTGCTACGGAGCAAAAAATGAATTTGTAAATGAATGATAATTTTTGGAAAATAGTGAAATTTTCAAGAATTCAAGCTTTGATTGATTGATTGCAAGTAAATGTACAAGCTGAAAAATAATAAAAAAGATGACGAGAGTAGAATATTCAAAATCATTTGGAGGGTTGAAGTTTTCACAGAAGAGAAAGGTGTGAATGTAAACTATCATTTCACTTGTAACAAATTATGTTACAATTCAATTGATATGTGCTCTTGCTGAATCTTTAGTTCTATTATGGTTCATATGCATGTAGATAATTCATTTTTTTTTATCTCTAGATGAAAAAATTTACATAAGATAATCAATTGACTTTGATTTAAAGATCAAGATAATTTGATTTTTACATTTTTGAAATCATTATATGGAATGAACCAAGCTTCTAGGAAGTGTATTATTAGGTTTAATGAGTTCATGGAAAAAAAAGAGAATTCACAAAATGAATAAAATCAGTTAGATTTACTTAAAAAAAGTGAATAATGAGATATTTAATCTCATTAGTTTAGTTTTTTATGTGAATAACATGCTCATTTTTGCAAAGAATCAATCTGCCAATAGATGTAAGAACCATTTGATATCTCAATTTCAAATGAAAAATTTGGATAAATACAAGAGTATATTAGAGATGTATCATCATAGAGATTTGAAAAAGAAAAGACTATGATTGAATCAAGTCAAATATGTTTAATTTGTGGCTGAGTATTTTAAGATGTTAGACTTTAAAGTAATATGGATTCTTTTGTCAACACACTTTAAACTTTTTTGTAATTCAATGTACAATTGATAGCATTGGAAGAAAAAAAATGATAACAATATTCTATAACAAAGTTGTGAGCATATTCATGTATTTGATGATGTGCACAAAGTCTAATATTGCTCTATTTATGGAGAAATAATATCTACTAGATCAACTCGGTGATCTGGTAGATGTCAAATCAAGATAAGCTACACTAGAAACAGTGAAATAAAATTTATTGTATTTGAAAAGTACTAAGGATTCTGATTCATTTTTTGATGGTTTATTAAAAAATGCTAAATTTTTACTAGGTCACGTCGATGCTGATCATGAACAAGACCTAGACTAGAAAAATTCTAATTGGATATGTATTTAGAGTTAGCGATTGATGTATTATGTTACGGTAAAACCGAGAAAACATTAAACACTCATGAGAGACAGATGTAACGTGGTTCATCATCAGGGAGGAGGGCTACGTCTTGTCAGAAAAAACTCTCGATACCGGGCGTAAGCCGAGATATTTATCTCCAGTCCAGACGACCGTCCTAGCTATAAATAGTTAGGACCCGAGGTTACTCCTTAACTGGAGTTAATCTCAATAATCTTTCCCTTAAGTCATGTTAAGGAACAATAATCTCTATAACATACATTATTACTCCGCGGGAAGTTCTAGATAGAAATCTAGCTTAAGACCCCTCATAACACAAGATTTAACTAGAGCTAAGCCGTAATCATAACAGGATAGAGTAATAACATAAAGAAGTAACTAAAAACAAGCTAGCATAGATAGAAAAGAAATCTCATAACCTATATAATTACTCAGCGAGAAATTCTAGAAAGAAACCTAATACAAGGCTCCTCTTTACACGAGAGTTAACTAGAACTAAGCCATAGTCATCATAGGATA